GTCGTCGTGTTCATCATGCAACACTCTGGCATCTTCGTCGTCCTCTACGCGTTGCCCGGGGCCGCGCTTCTTCAAGAAAGGTTTGACGGCAGCCTGATATGGTGTTATAAATATTATAAGACGACAATATATCAGCATTATACATCGTAGGTACGGACCTTGCTGACTAGGTTCAACACATGTCCGAAGCAACGGACATGGCCCTCGCCGATCCGGGCTAACGGCGCGCGCGTATGGAGCTGACGCATGAGTGCTGTGTTGACCTCAGCATTGTCGCATGTGACAGCGATGACCTGGAGGGTGTTGAATGGTGTCAGCATGCACCGCAAGGCTTTATAGGGCACGAGTTACGGGACCGGGGTGGGGAGCGCACGCGAGAGGAGGGAAGGGTGAGAGAGAACCGGGGGCTCACCTTGTCAAAGATACCGTACTCGCGGAGACAGTCCTCGAGCTTGTCGGCGAGGAATATAGCAGTGTGGGACTTGGTGAGCCTTTGAAGGGAGGTCGGGTATTAGTTCGCGCAGTGGGTGCACAGCGTGCAGTGGAGAACTCACTTGACGAAGTCCAAAATAATATGCTTCATGACCCCTTTTCGGTCCAGTGGACAGTGATCCCAAGGTACGAGATCACGTTTGGCAACGTCCAGCCATCCATGCAGACATGGATGCCGCCTTCGACGTTCTGATTACAATGTCAGAGGTGTCCGCGGCAGAGGGTTGGGATAGACTACGTACCTTGAGATGGTCGATGACCCGCTGTTTCGCCTCCAGATGGATGTCGCGGACGTCTTGAGAGATCGTCTGGCGAGTTGGGAGAGCGACCTTGTTGTAGAGCATCGCCAAGATTGCACGGAAGTCCTTGTCCTGCACGATGGTGAAGGGGCGATGGTCTCGTGCACACCACATCGCAAGCAGGAACCGCATGCGATGCGGAGTGTACGTGACCCCGGCGGCGAAATCTTCATGAGCTGAACGCCGGCTGTGGCCACTGGCTTCTTCTGAGGGTTGCAGCTGTTCACGTGCCGCACGAGATTTCCGGTGCTTTCTTGATAGTCCGGACGATCGACCTTCTTAGACGAGTGCCTGTAGAGAGTATGTAAGTCATGGTCAACACATACTAAATCGCACAACGTACTCCTTGCAAACGAAACGATGACTTATAGTCCCGTTGGGGCCTCGAATGACGGTTGGGAATTCGAAGTGCAAATACGCATCTGAACGCCAACCCTTTGCAAGCTCCGCTGCAAGATATCAGCAATATGTTCGTGCGAGAGATGAGCGATCGGACTTACCTAAAATCTCCTCCGGGGTCATGTTCGGAACCGCCTTGCGAACCGAGTCTGGCGATCAGTCTTGCCCACGATCCCAGTGTTCTCCGCGGCTGCGCGAGTGCGTTCTTTCAGGCCACGAACACCATCGTCGCCGTCGGAACTGTCGGAGTCAGAAGGTATGGCGCTCGAGTCCTTGTCCGAGTCGTCCTCTGTGACCGACTTGGAGGATACAGAGGTAGTCGACCTCGTGCGCCGTACCTTCGCACGCCGCTTGTCGCGCCCGCTAGGCATGGTGGCACTGTGGTAGATTGAAGAAAGTGTGTTAGGAAAGTGCAATGAAAGATAGTAGTAGCGGATGTACCTGGCAGACTCCTGCGTGACGGTCTCCGAGCGGGGACGTTTGGCAGCCGCTACCGCAGCGGCAAGGGGGTTCTCGGCGGGGGAGTCGGCGGGCATACTAACGTCGAGGGGAGGCGAATCGTCAGAGGGCGAGGGGTAGAGTGGGATCTCTGAACTCACCAGGGTGAGTTTCCGTAGTATAAAACCTCCCCAGGAGGTTGAATCGCGCACTCCTGAATGTCCCTTTCGAAGGTAATGTTAGCCCAGAGCTCTGTGTCCTGCCTCAATGACGGGATAGCTCAGAGTGTGCTCACCAAGATGAGTACCATTCCGGTGCTCCGTTCGCCCTGGCAGGGTGCTTGATACCCAATCATGAGCAGGGGGAGGTGCACGAGACGGTCCATGAGGTGGTTGGGCCAGGAACACTGCAATGTTCATGTTCATGGGGCAGTCGGAGTGTCGTGTGTGCGTGCTGAGTTGATTTGCAACGATGCACGCGTTGATGAGACCTTGCGACCGATAACGCGATAGTTCCAGCAGGAAAAGATCGCAGTAGGACTAGTAGAGTCTAGACTGAGTTCGGGAGGAGAGAGCAGAGGGGGGGAGAAAACGCATCGATAGAGGCGATGAGGGCAAGGAGTTGGTGATGGCACGAGTCAGCCTCCACGCCTGACCACACGCGACATCACCCAAAGCAGCACCTTGCTTCCTGCTCGAAGCGAGGGCTTCGACTCTCAGGCCCACGCCTGACGGGAGCCGCGCAGGACTCCACATCCGCTGCCACGTCTGCGTCGCTCCTACCACCACCCATGTCCTCTCAGTGAGTCGTCTGTGCCTCTCTAATGGTTGACACTGCTGAGGTATAAACATATGTCCGGGTGAGCTAACCATCTGAGGATCAACATGATCCTCAGATCGTTATCTCACCCAGTGCCTAACAGATCACCTGCCTTATTTGGCGTAATCGCCCAGCTCCCACCCAGCTCCGGATCCCTCCAGGTCTCAAACAAGCCGGCAAGAGCCTCCGACGATCCGAACCGCACGGCCCCTGCGGACGACCCATCTCCTCGCGCGGAGGACCCATCTCCTCGCGCGGATGACCCATCTCCTCGCCCAGACGACCCATCTCCTCGCGCGGACGACCCATCTCCTCGCGCGGACGACCCATCTCCTCGCCCAGACGACCCATCTCCTCGCGCGGACGACCCATCCCCTCGCACTGACGGGAAACCCATCTCCTCGCGCCAACGACCCATCCCCTCGCGCCGACAAGCCATCCCCTCGCACTAATAGCAACTTATCGCCAAGTTGCGCTGAGCAATCAACGACCCACCGTCTCCTCGCACGGCTGACATCTCGCGCGGCCGACATCTCGTGCGGACGACATCTCGCGCGGCCTGTTTGTGCCCTCAGCACACAAACGACGTTGGGCGCCCTACGTCTCCTTGCGAGATCCACCTGTGCATTCATATTCGCGATCTCCGTCTGAGTATGTCTACAAGAATATCATAATATCCTGCACACACACTCACACAGTATCTCACAGGTTCTTTCCTCCAACGACCACCTTCTTCCCGTGGTCTTCCGTATCCCGATCGTCACCCCTCTCGAGGCTTCCCTTCCTCCCACCGAGATGTCTAGTACGCCCGCCCCTACCGTTGGTCCCCCATCTCCCCTGCCTACTACCTCCGACATCTCAATCGGCGATGCCACCACCCTCGCTCCAGTCTCCGACACCTATCTTAATCCCACACACCCTGGCGTTGACAACCCATCCACGTCTTTCTCGGATGAGCTCGCCGCACTGTCTGAGCTCTACGACCTCGGCACAGATCCCTCGCTCGGTGGCGGCAGTGCACCGACCTTTGGCCAAACGTATGGGGAAATGATGGTCGCGGCAACACGCCGTCTCGTCCCCCCTGCGCGTTGGGTGAGCATAGTTGAAGAAATCGCGGAATACCACCGGTCCCTGGTCATCGCGGAGCTCCTGGATGCGCCGCGCCCCTCCACGTTAAGCCCGCGGACCCACGCAGTCTTGGTCGACACCCTCTTCGCCGGTGCTGCGGCGGCAACGGACCTCCATGCGGCAGGAAGCTCCGGCGATGTGGGCGTGGGCGTGGATTCCACCTGCGCGGCCACAGGTAGCGCGCGCCCCCCCACAGCCCATGAGGGGGAGCAGGAGGATCGCAGCCCGGAGGCGAGCACTGGTTCAAAGTCGCCTGCGGAGTGGATGTTGGGGCCAGACATGGGCACGGCAGGTGGGGGCGCAGGTCCCGTGTCGCAGACGCGCAGGCGCAGGCACAAGAGAAAGGGGAAGGGGAAGGGGAAGCGTGCGGGCAGGGGTGCGCACGCGCGCGGGGACGCGGTTGCAAGCGTGGATGTGGGCACGATCACTGGTGCAGGTGGAGTCGTTGGTGTGACTCCTGCACACCCCTCAGTCGAGGACGAGCTTCCCAGGCTCATCACGCCTGTTCACTCCGACGTCTCTGATACTTCAGACGACGAGTAGGACTTGGAATAGTAACAGTGAAGTGATGAATAGTTATTATATTGCGTCAATACATGGTCTAAATATGCGACTCTACCCGCGGATGACCCGCGGATAACAAAAAATCTGGCCGGCCCGATCCGGATCCTCACCAAGCCGGATCCGCACTGATCCGGAGCCGTGTGGATCATGAACCACGACTCACGACTCCGGATATCTGCGGGTTGATCTGCAAAGTGATCCGGAGTCTCAAACAGCCTTACGGGTGAGTGAGCGTGGGCTCTTGAGTGCCTCCTCGTACGCGCTGTGGGAGCCGTCCTTTGGCATGGGATAAGGACCTGGGCAGCGCGTGAGATGTGGGGGCTGCTGGAGGGCTGGTGCGGCAAAGTAGAGGAGGAGGCGGTGGACCACAGACTCACCCATGTCGTCCTCGCTATCAAAGCCCTCCATGATGTTGTCCAAATCCATCGACTCCCTAGGGCGCTGAATTTTCTTCGTCGGCTTGGGTATGCAGGTGAGGCTGACCATCGCGACAGGAGTAGCGAGGATGGAAGGCGGGGAGGGAGGACGAGGGGGATGAGATCTTGAGAGCGCATGTGCTGGCAGCCGCCAGGTGGCGTGGGAATCTCATATATCAGCCTTGTGGACTCTGCCAGCGCATCCTCCACCAGGTTCCGCCTTTCACCGTTCTCCACCTCGCCCTCGCCTGCATCACCCGCGTTGCCCGTCTACACCTCGCCGGTCTCGCCCACATCGCCGCCCTCTCTCGTCCTGGCCCGTGTCACCCTTGCCAGCCTCGCTCTTGCTGCTCTAGCCCGCATCACCCGCGTCCCCCGCATCACCCGCGTCCCCCGCATCGCCCTCGCCCACGTCACCCACTTCGTTCGCCTTGCTCAACTCGCCCGCTTCACGCGTGGCCCACATCGCCCGCATTGCCCGCGTCGCTGGACTCTTCGCCTGTGTCTCACTCTTGGCCCGCGTCTCACCCCACGTCTCGCCCGTCTCACCGTCTCACACCGCCCCTATCACGTCTGCCTGACCTGCCTGGCCCGCGTCGTCACCTCACCTATGTTGACCACGTCGCGCTCCTTGCCCGCATCATCCGTATCGCGCTCTTATCACCCTCCTTGCCCTCGTCGTACGTCCCCGTTCGCCCCCATCCCCATGTGTGCCCCCGCTCACCCGCGCGCACAGTATCTAGTGGTGATCCAGCCCGCGTACGAGCGCGCGGTCGCGGCCTATGCGCCTGCGCCCGTCCCGCCATGGACGTCGTTCCCGACGGTCTCCTTCCGGGTCCCGCTCATGAGCGGCGTCCTCCTCGGCCTCTCGACGCTCGCCCTCCTCATGAGTCCCCCGCGCTCGAGGACGAAGAATCGCTGACCGGGCGTGGCGGACCGCACAGGTCGTGCTCCTGAACTACGTCGTTGGTGTGTCTCCGCTCCCCATGTACTCTCCCGCGCTCGTCTGACCCGCGCGCTACCAGGCCCGACAACACGCAGACGTCTACGTCCACACCGCTCCGACCGCCCTCGGCGCGCTCACCGTCATCCGCCCCATATCCGGCGCGATGTTCCCCGTGCGTCCCCTCACTGTGTACACGAACGCGGGCTCACAAGCGCTCGCCGGATCCGTGCGCAGCTCCTCGACGCAGCTCTTCAGGACGCTCAACCCGCGCTGGGTGTCGACGCTCCTCAGCTGCGTCGTGGTCCTGATGATCCCCATCCCGTTCGCGCTCAAGAAGTGGGGGCCAGCGCTCGCACTGCCTCCAGCAGGACGCGGTGTAGATCCGAACGACGAACCGGTCTGCGACCGCAGCAACCCTCGAAGCATGAGGGGCGTGGGATCGAAGAATGAACGGACGAATGAACTTGTTATGACCAGCAGACCTCCTCCACAACACCTACCGCATCGCCCCCACGTCGCCCGCCTCACCACCCCATGTCGCCCACATCCCGTGCCCACCCCCTGTCGCCTGCAGCACCCACCTCATCCATGTTGCCCACCTGCTTCCCCCGTGTTGTTCTCGCCTTACCCATGTCTCTCCCCGGTCCCGTCACCACCTTGCCTGCTTCACTCGTGCCAGAGACGTTATTGTTTGTAGCCTGTAGCCTGTACTTCGTAGCATGACAAACATATATATTTGTTGCTTCTCCTTCATGCTTGTGTGATTTGATGAGTGCGTTATAGAAGCACGTTATGTCAGATGAGGGTCAGACTGTCAGATTGGTGAGGGTCAGACATCAGACTGTCAGAATGGTGTCAGATGAGGGTCAGATGTCAGACAGCCCAAAAATCTGACAGTCTGACCAATCTGACACGTGCAGAATTACTGATGGACTGTCAGACTGATACAGAAGTCAGTAGGAAGCTCAACCGTTCGAAGATAGTACTGACCAACGAATCAGGGGGACATCCATAGAAGATTGTGGACTGGTCGGCTTCGAGCTCGTCACGAAGCCACTCTTGCACAGCTTCAGGGGTACGATCATCCTCCGGGAGGTCCACGTCCTCCATGCGCTTCTTGACGAGCTCCTCGATCGAGATTTTCGCGATCCTGCGGAGATCGTGCCGGTACTGGTACACGCCTTGGCGCGCCTGCAAGAATACGTTAGACCGTGACAGTCTGTCGGATGGGGCAAAAGCGACGTACGGCTTTGTAGAGAGCGTTGCTCCGGGTGATGTTCGGGAGCTTCGCGGCGAGGCGGGCATTGGTGCGCTTCAGAATAGCTGGAAGGCCCTCCACGAAATCGCTGTTCCGAGGGCCATCGAGGTCCCAAGGATCATTGCGTGCTCCCGCGACATGAATCATCCCGGGGATGACGGACGCCTTCATGAGCGGCTGCCACTGCTCAGGGCAACTCTTGATGCCGGCCGACTGGGCAGCCTTCTTCCGTGTGGGCGTCGGCTTGAGAGTCTTCGCCTTCACCGGTGTGACAACACTATTGTCGTCCAAGGGATCGTCAGTGATGATGATGTCGCCGTCGTTGTCATGACGTGCGTCAAGACGTTCAATAGTGATCCGGTTGACCTGTGATTGAATAGTATCAATAGCTGCTACAAGCAGTAGCTCAAACACGTACCGGACGAGACGCGCCATGGAGTGCCGACCCCTTCGAGACGAACACATCCTCGTCGGAGAAGCCTCCAAGTGGGGCTTTGTTTTCGTCATCTATGTCGTCTTCGTCCCCATACTCGGCTAGGAGAAAATATCAGATTTTTGATACTCAGACTGCAACACAACGACACTACCTTGTTCATCCACGAAAATCGGTCCGGAGGCAACGTTCTGTCGTCGTTGGTGCTGACGTGCACGCCAATGCGGCAAGAACGGCGTGGCAGGGGTAGTGGCCTTGGATTTCGACGTGGCGCTTCTGCAACAGATGACAGAATGAAATGGAAAAGGTAAAGGAAACATACCAAGGGATGGGCTGCGACGCAACTTCAACTTCAAGGCTGCTACCAGCAACCTTGGAGCTGGCGCCGGGCTTGATCTTGCGGAATGCTGCAACCTCATTGAAGGTCTTTTGACGCAGACTGGCCTTCTTCTCCGCAGACGTCATAGGCTGCAGGTTGAACAAGCAGCCAAAGCAGATGCGGGAGGGAACACCCGATGAACAGGGCAGATCTGAGACACATGCCATGAGGACGGCGCACCTTGCGAGTAGTACTAGTAGGACGAGCTTCGGACAGATCCTTGCCCAAACCCAAGCCCTTTCCACCGGCTCCGAGGTCGCTGTTGAGATGATTGTCCGAGGCGTTGGCGTTCTTAGAGGTGTCTTCAGCGTCGCGGTGAGTTTGAGAGTTCGGTGTCCCAAGTTTCCTGCCAGGGAACATGGATGCTGTGGGATGGCGTGCACAACGTAAGCGACGGTGAGAACAGGATCAGACGCGCAGATCCCACGTACCGAGCATCTCAGCGTCCTCCGAGTCCGCTTCCTCGCGCATATCCTCAAGGGCAGCAACCAGTTCAACCCTCTCGGCATGCATCCGCACGAGCTCAGCCTTGAGCCTGTCGAGCTCTTCTTGGTCTGCTTGCCTCTGCTTGCGTTCGGCGTCGAGCTCTTCGGGTGACTTCTTGTACAGCCCGACTTTGGCCGCCGGGTGCGTATCCTTGTTCTCCGGGCGCGTGTTGTACGGATGCTGATAGTCCTTGGGAATGGTGGATGACTGAAAGACTTGGTGAGTGGTGAATTTGATGTCTCCATCAGGAAAACCCTCACTTGCAAATGAGCGATAACACTGCTAATAACTGCTAACCTGAGAGCTAATGGGAGTCTAATGATGTAATGGCGGAGTAATCCGCATATTTTGCACTAATGGAATTGTGAAGTGCTCATTCAGACTATAATAGAACTTGTGGAAGACCAATGTCACTACTTTGCACGCATCCACACCAGTAGGCACAAAGCAAACTAATTGCTCGCTACTTTGAACACACTCAAGTAATGTCATGTGGGAAGGACGAAATATATTGATCTCTAGTGCGATCTAACTAAACTACGAGCTCCCGGCGACACGGGAGATGCGGGCAACGCAGACGCGGATGACGTGTGCAAGGTTGCAATGCAAATGATGTGGGCCACGCGGGCGAGGTGGGCACGGTGGGCGAGGGGACGCGCACGACATGGGCGGTGCGGACGCGGACGCGGACGGGGTGGACAAGACGGTAGCAGCGGGCGAGGGCGACACGGACGCGGACGGGGTGGACAAGACGGTAGCAGCGGGCGAGGGCGACACGGACGCGGGAGACGGCGGCACTGGCAACGTGGATTGCGGGCGATGTGGATGCAGGTAGAGCGGGCGTGGGCGACGTGGATACAAGCGAGGTCGGCAGTCGACGTGGCAAGGCGGGAGATGAAAGCGCGAGGTGAGGAATGCGGGCGCGAGGTGGATGCGGGCGGGGTGGCGACGTGGACCGGCGACGCGAGTGAGGCGGCAAGACGACGGCGACGCGGGGGCGAGACACGGGCGACGCAGGAGCAATGCAGAATTCTGGCCAGGAGGACACGGGCGCGGAGGAGTGAGACCTTGAGGGGTCAACCACACACGAAGGCCGTAGCACGCGGGAGGTGGCAGTGAGCGCGCGACACGGCTGCAACGGTGGCACAACGCAATTGCACCGGTCGAACGAGTGGCCCGTGCACGTCCGTGGGGGCATGCTTGTTGTGGGGACGGCGTCGCTGACGTGGTCGGGGCCTGGAGAGATGGTGGGCGAAGTGGGGAGCGCAGGAGGACGGAGCGGGGGACTCACCGAGACAAAGTGTGGCCACTCCATGCGCATTGTGAGGTCGGGAGGTGGCAGCGGCAGTTGAGGCGAATGGCAGGATACCGGCTGGGGGCGGAGAAAGGGGGAGGACGCAAAGGACGCGGAGGACGCGGAACACGGGGAGGACGTGGAGAGTTGGACGGAGGGAAAGACGTGCTGGCAAGTGCTGGCGTGCGGCTCCAGACGCGTGGGAATCGACGTGCGTTGCGTGGACTCCAGGCTGCCAGCACCTCTGCCTCACCCCGCCTCGCCGTCGCCCTCGAGCGCCCCATATCCATCCTCACCGCCTCGACGCCTCCCAGCCCAGCCCCGCCTTCCTAAGCCCAAGTGCAGGGAGCACGGTGTCGACGCCCCGGCTCCGCATCAACTGCATCTCCCGCCTAGCCACCTTGCCCGCGTGCGCGCAGCCCACCTGGCCTTCTCAGCTCGCTCATCTTGCTCACGACGACGTCCGTGTCGCCCACCCTTGCTCGCGTCCTCTCCTCGCCACGTCTCGCCTGGCTCGTGTCATGCCCGTTCCGTCCATCTTGCCCATTTTGCCCGCATCTCGCACGTCACCCGCATCCCCTGCGTCACCCACCTCTCGCACGTCATGCCCACATCTCCCGCCTCGCTCTTGTCCCGCCGCGGCCGTCTCGTCTGCGTCACCCGTCTCATCCGTCTCACCCGCCCTGCCCGCCTGATCCGTCTCGTTCGTCTCGCCCTCGTCTGGCACCTCACCCCCGTCTTGTCTGTCTTGTCTGTCTCACTCCCCTCGTTCATCTCGCCTGCATCGCCTACCTTGCTCGCGTCACCCACATCCCCTGCGCTGTACACCTCGCCATCAATCCACCTCGCCCGTGTTACCCACCTTGCTATGTCACCCACCTACGTAGCTCGTGTCACCTGCGTCCAGTCCACATCGCCTGCCTCACCCTCCCGCTTAGCCTGCGTCACTAATTCGGCCGCCTCACTCGCGTCTGCGTTGCCCATATCTCCCGCTCGCCTGCGTCGCCCGCTTCGTTTTTCTTGTCCAAGTCTTTCTGCCTTGTCCGTCTCGCCTGCCTCGTCCTTCTCGCACCTCGCCCGCATCTCGCATCTCGCCCGCATCTCGCATCTCGCCCGCATCCCTACGTCTCCCACGTCGTGCCCGCATCTCCCGCCTTGCTCTTGCCCTGTCCCGGCCCTCTCGTCCACGTCGTCCTTCTCCTCCGTCTTGCCCACCTCGCACTCGGGCGATCTCGCGAATCGCCACTCTGGCAGCTCGTCTGCCTCGCCCGTCTCCCGCCTATCCTGCGTCACCCACCTTGCTCGCCTCGGCACCTAGCCTGCCGCGCCCATCTCGCTCCTCCTGCATGTGCCACGTCATCCACCTTGCCCGAGTTTCCACCTAGCCCGCCTTGCCCATCTCATCTGCCTCGTCTCGCCCGTGTCTTGCTTGTCACGCCCTTCTCGCCCACGTCTACCTCGCCCGAGTCTTGCACCTCGCCCGTGTCGCCTGCCTCAGGCGCATCTCCCGTGTCGTCGGCGTCTCCGTGTGATCTGCATTACTCACGTCACCTGTCTGCTCTTGCCTGTTTCGCCCGTCTCTGTTTCGCGCGTGCCTGTTCTGTAGTAGATACCTATTTCATCAATTGAATTGTTGTCTCGAACATATTCCTTGGTGTGATTGTGTGATGCAAGTGTGAATATGTGATCTCATGGCCTCTAACTAGTGTTCTATTAGACCTCTGTTTGCACTCATTAGCAGGCATTAGCATTTATTAGAGACACTTTGCAGGGGGGAACTTCAATTAGCACAACAAATCTAATTTACAGCTCATTAGTGCGAGTTATGTGTATTTTGCAAGTGGGGGTTTTCCTGATGAGTCACTCGCCCTGATACTTACCTGCTTCCGTTGTTTACGTGGCTTAGGTGGGTTTGACTTCGCCTCGAGGTCTGCCGACATATTGCGCTTGCGGCCTGTCGACGATTGTAGGGGAGTCGTCTGACGGTCATCACGGCTAAAAGGTCCGTCTGCAGGGGGTTCGAAGTCGCCATGGTCGAACACAGTAGTGGTTGTCTCGACCACCTCTGTGTTTGACTCTGGGGGACTGTCCGGAAGGGTTGACATAGTGAGCGTGTCGCCAGAGTCCCCACGCAGCCGTGTTGAACGACGCGTGTTCTGACGTGGCGCAGTGTTGGTGGAGGTCGGTGCTGCGGCAGCTGGTGTCGCAGGAGTTGGAGAACTTGTGGGGGATGGGCCTCGGCGGCCTCGGGCCTTGCGCGCCATGGGTGACTGGTAAATGAGGGGAATGAAAGAGAGGATGTAGAAAGAAGAGAGGGCGAGAAGAGAGATGCGCGACTCGATCACAGAAAGGCAACCCCAGCGTCTGGTTGGGGCCGCCCCTCAACTCGCTCTTGCGTCGTCAGGTGCTCACTAAGTCTCACCCGTGCCTTATCCCTCGCTGTCATCCACCTCCCCCCTCGCCCGTACTGTATCCCTCGTCCACCTCCTCTCAGCTCGTCCGATTCATACCCGTTTTCAAGTTGGCCTCCTCCTTATCCGATTCGATGGCCCGCTTCTGTGCTCTCTGTCACTTGTCCTTCAGCTCCTCGCGTGGTTTCGCCCATCATCGCCGTATTGTCCACCGCAACCCCAAACCCAGACCACCTCCTACAGTTCGGCACGAGCATGTGGGCCTTTCTGGTACGATCTAATGTCTTAGCTCAGGCTAGTGCTCGCATGCTGACACTGCAATGACTTTTAGCTGGCAAATGCGACAGGAATGGCGTTTTTCTTGGCAACCAGAACGTGCCTCCACCGCCGTACAATGGCCCCAATGGGTACTTTCCATGGGAAGACCGGATCGCCTTCGAGTTCACCAAGCTCACGTACAAGGAGATGCAAGAGTCGGCCGGCAATCTCGAGGAGATTCTCCGGCTCTGGCATGCAAAATGCATTCTCGAAGGATGCCCGGAAGCCGCCCCTCCATTCGATAGCGTTGATGATTTACTCGACACCATCGACCAGGCCCCCTATGGCGACACCGGATGGCGTGTCTTCCGTGTACGCTACACTGGTCCCATCGAACCCAACTCCCCGTCCTGGATGCGGAAAACCTACCTGTTCTACGCCCACAACACCCTCGCCGTTGCGGAACAGCTTGCTCAATGTCCCGAGTTCAACGGCAAGTTCGATTACCGCCCTTACACGGAGTACACCCAAGATGGAACACGTCGCTTCTGTGATCTAATGTCTGGTCAGTGGGCGTGGAAGAAAGCGGTGAGTTCACATTTCCTACTCTTCGCAAATTGCATATATTGAGTTATCATATCCAGACGACCATTGCACACAACGTCCCGGGGAGCTTGGGGTCAATGCTCGTCCCCATCGTGCTTGGTGCAGACAAAACCACCGTCTCAGTCGCTACAGGTAACCAGGAGTTCCACCCGGTATATATGTCGCTCGGAAACATCCATAACGACATGCGCAGAGCACATCGTGATAGCGTCGTCCCGATCGCGTTCTTGGCGATTCCTAAAGGTGCGTGCTCTTCTCTCTCACAGTCTATATTAGATGAGCATCTGAGTATCTTTATCTCAGGCGATCATCACAACGGAGATGAAGAAGAGTTCAGGATCTTCAAGAAGAACCTCTATCACACGTCGCTGGCAAAGGTACTCGAACCTCTTCGCCCTGGGATGACGACTCCCCATCCGATGCGCTGCCCAGATGGGCACTATCGCCGTGCTATCTTTGAACTCGGCCCTTTCATCGCCGACTACCCGGAACAAGTCTACCTGTCATGTGTCGTTTACGGATGGTGTCCAAAGTGAGTTCCATTCCGTCTCCTCATGTATTTTCTCGTCCCCACATGGCTGCCATGAACTTCTCGGTGGGCATGTGCGCCCGCTCTTGCCCGCTGAGTCTTCGGCCCACTTTAATCGCTCGCCGTCCATGGTCTGCTCATAAAGTTTGCCTTCTGGGAAGCACACTACGTTCATGATTGCACACGTGAGAGTCCCGTGTGCGTGCTCATGCGTGCACATCAGGAAAACCTTAACGAGCTAATTAGCTCTAGGCTAACTAGCACTAGCACTATCGACTTAGCTATTCACACTAGCACACTATGAACGGCTAGTCATACTATTTGACCACTATGTTTCAGCTCTCGCAACTATGTAGCTAGTCGTTCTGCTGCCACAGCTAGTGGATCTAAATCAAATCTATTTGTACCGGATCTGAACTAATGTCTAGCTACTCGTCGTGCGCCTCTCCCGCCCCGTCTACATGGTCTTCGTGCGCCGGGGCGCCTCGGCGCCCAGCCAGGTCATGGTGCGCACCTCACGGCGAGTCCCACGGCAAACGTGCAGAGTGTGCCGGGCGTGTAGATGCGCTCGACGCCGTCACCCGCGCCGTCGGGTGCGATCGCGTGCTGGGGTTTCGCGCGGGCGTCCGCACGGTCCCGCTGTGCGGCGTGCTCGTGCTCGTGCTCGCGCTTGCGCTCGGGTTCGCAGAGACGGGGGCTGTCGTGATCACGGTGCTCGCGACGGTGCGCGCGCAGCCCTTGGAGCGCGTGGGGGTGCTCACGGTCGTAGTAGGCCTCGCGGTAGTAGCGCTCGAGGCGGCAGCGCGCGGCCTTGTCGCGGAGCACGAGCGTGGCGGCGGGCGACGCGGATCCACCGGAGGAGGGCGCGGGGGTCGCTGAGCACCGGGAGGGCGACGAGGAGGCAGAGCGCGCCACCGAACTGGAGGGCGGAGAGGCTGGAGGCGCGAGCGGGGAGCGGGAGGCTGGGTGACGGCGCGAGGAGGGCGCAGCGAGAATGACGCGGACGAGATGGGCTAGGCGGGCGACGCTGATGCGGATGCGGGGGCGAGACAGGGTGAGGTGGAGAGGTGGGCAATGCGGGAACGAGGTGGGCGGCGCGATGAGATGGGCGAGATGGGCGATGCAGGTAAGCCGGGGCGACACGGGTGATGTGGGCGACGCGGGCGATATGGGCGATATGGGCGAGGTCATCGAGGTGGGGCGACGTGTGACACAGGCCAGGTGGGTGAGGTGGGGGCGAGATGGGCGACGCGGACGCGCGTGACGTGACCCGTGCGATGTGCGTGAAATGGGCGAAACAGGCGAGGTGAACCATGTGATCGTGAGACGGGCAGGGGAGGAGAGGATGTGCAGGAAAAAACGAGAGCTCACCGTAATAAACAACGACTTCATGGCCAGCGCCCTCGAAGACGTCCTTGAGGGAGAGGAGGGAGGTGGGGAGCCAGTGGGTGAGTGCGACGGCGAATGCGTGCTTTTACGCATGGAGCGCGGGAGGCTGGCGTGGTCGACATAGAAGAGGAGCAATTGGAAAGCAAGAAGACGATGAGGACAATGGGGACGAGTGCCACACAACGGGAGACTCACCAAAACCTAGGGGCCCGCAACAGCTCATCGAGGAAGCGGCAGGTGAGGAGAGCGTTGGCTTGTTCATCGAGGATGTTGCGCCAGGAGGAAAAGACGGGGAGGATGTGGAGGACGGGAAGGACGAGGAGGACGGGGTACTAGTGGACGAAGGGAAAGACGCGCTGGCAGGTCCAGACACGTGGGAAACGATGCACGTCGCGTGGACTCCAGCGCTTGGCACTGCCAGCACTCTCGTTGTTGTCGTCCTCATCGTCCTCGTCGTCCTCTGGCCTCCCCTTGCCCGTCTCGTCATCGCCCGTCTCGCCCTCGCCCGTTCTGCTCTCGCCCTCGCCCGTTCTGCTCTCGCCCTCGCCCGTTCTGCTCTCTCCCTCCCCGCCACCTTACCCATGTCAATCCGCGTCATCCGCGTCGCCGACTTCAAGCTTTACCCGTCTCGCCTGCGCCCCACGCCTCGCCCGCCTTGTCCGTCTCGTCCGCTTGTCCCGTCTCAACCCCCTGGGTCCTCGTCCATCTCACCTGTGTCGTCCACCTCGCTCGCGTCACCCCGTATCTCGCTCATCTTGCACGCGCTCGTCTCACCTGCCTCACCCATCTCGCCCACCTCTCGCCCACCTCTCTCTCACCCGTCCTGCCCTCGCCCGTCTTGCTCTCGCCCGTCCGCACCCGCGTTATCCACGTCGCCACGTCGCCCACTTCACCTGCCTCGCTCTCGTGTCGTACGTCACCCATCTCGCTCACCTCGCCCACGTCTACTGCCCCGCTCATTGCCCTCCTGCAGCCGAGGATGGTCGCCGCTTCGCCCATCTCCCGCGCGTCTCACGAACGTGGGCGTGACCCTGACCGTAACAGTAAGTGCCCCATGCATCCACTCTGCCATGCAATTCCTGACCCCTCCTCACACGCACGCGCACCACTGACGTTGGAATCCCCCATATTACCACCTCGCCCACGCCGTCGCCGCCTCTCGCCTGCGTCACCTACCCCGCTCGGCTGACCATCTGTGAGTACTACAACTCCGTCTCCGCTATCGTGCGCCCCACGCTGACGCTGACGCTGCCTCACGCTCCCACAGGCAAGTGCGATATCCACGCGCAGATGCGCTAGATGTGCTGCACGTACACGAAGGACAACGTCAGCCCTGAGGACGGTGCCCGATCACGACATGGAGGAAGGCGCCGTCTGAACACGCGCGCAAGCTCCAGTGCCTCCATCACCCCCACGCTCGTCCAGGTAAGCAGCCCCCTCGCACACGTCAATCTCATCTCACCGTGCAGTCGCTCACACGCTTGTTTAAGCTCACGGCCAAACCGACGCCCGTTCGCCCACATCGCCTATGTCACCCACGTCCAAACCCGCATCTCCCACCTCACCGTATCGCGCCCGGTTTGGGCATCTCCCGCACATCGCCCCGTTCGCTGCCGCATCACCTGCCTCTCATCCACATCGCCCACATCGTCCACCTCGCCCGCTTGCCCGGTTCGCTCTCGACTCGCCCACGTCACCCGTGCTGCCTGCCCCGCCCTTGTATCGCCCATGTCGTCCGCACTGGGCACATGCGGAGAGGCTGTATTCCTCCATAAGTAGTGCCCGTGTCGTTGCTTGTAGTCTACTTTGTACGTTGTAGCATGATAAATATAAATTTGTTTGACTCTCCTATACGCTTGTGTGACCAAACCTACAGTTGCTCTATCTGTCTATCTAACTTGCAGCTAGGCACTCTATTCAGCCGTCTACTTCAGAGCTAGGTGCTCTAATCACCCATCTACCCAGTAGATAATGGGGCTAGTGATCTAATTAGTTCAGGGGTAAAATAATTAGCACTAATGAACTATCCGCATCTAGTCAGCTAATTAGCGCTATTTTAGATGACCTAGAGCTAATTAGCTGGTTAAGGTTTTCCTGATGCAGACGCCGCTGTGCATGCGGGGCGTCCCCATGCATGCGCGAGGGCTCCCTGGTGGAGAGGGCACTGCGTTCATGATTGTGCACGCGACAACCCCGCGTGCGTGCTCATATGCGCAGACGACCATGTGCATGCGTGACATCTCTGTGCGTGTGCGTTGTCTCTGTGCGTGCGCAACGTCGACCATGTGCATGCACGACATCTCTGTGCGTGTGCATCGTCTCTGTGCGTGCGCGACGTTCCTGCGCGATGTCCGTTTGTGTGCGCACTGCGCGAGGGCTCCGCATGCGAAATAGCTTCGCGCACGCGCGACAGGAACAGCTCCGACGTCTGCACATTACACCCCCGCATGGTAGTGGCGTCATTTACGCCCTCTTATTAACTTGCCCTCTTGCAGATGTCGCGCACTTCCGGAGGAGCTTGAACAAGCCGGCCCCCCACGATTTCGACAACATACGGAAGCTCTCATTGACGCCTTCAATGAGAATACTCTCTGGGACACGTATGGTATCATCAAGGACGTGAAAGTAAGCTTATAATTGCGTTTGTACTGCTCATATCTGATTCTTGACACTTGGTGTAGCCGTTCACAAGCTGGTTCCCTCGCGCCGACATTCATGAACTTCTCACCCCCGATATCCTCCATCAGCTCATCAAAGGGACGTTCAAAGATCATCTCGTCGCCTGGATTGAAGACTGGATCACAACGCACTCAGAATCGGCTCAGGAAGCTAAGCAGATCTTAGACGATGTTGATCGTCGGTGAGTACTTGAACTGAGTCTCGTGTCATATCACAACTCATTCTGTTTTCAAGGCTTGCTGCCATTCCTCCCTTCCCAGGGCTTAGACGCTTCAAGAACGGCCGCAACTTCAAGCAGTGGACTGGGGATGATTCGAAAGCGTTGATGAAGGTCAGTAACATTCGTTTCAATCACACCTTCGATTGCACACTGATGTGGTCGCAATCGGATAGGTCTATCTTCCCGCAATCACAGGACATGTCCCTGACGAAATGGTCCAATGTGTTGCTGCACTATTGGACTTCTCTTACCTCGCACGCGTTCCGAGCATGACACGTTCGTACTCGACGCCATGAAGGAAACCTTGCAGCGCTTCCACGCTCTTCGAGGCATTTTTGAGCGGGAAGGAATCCGTCCAAATGGGTTCTCGCTCCCTCGTCAGCATGCGCTCGTTCACTACATTCGTAGTATCGAGTTGTTTGGATCCCCGAACGGTCTGTGCTCATCTATCACTGAGTCTAAGCACATTGAAGCTGTCAAGAAGCCCTGGAGGGCGTCGAACCGTCGCGAACCGATCCTTCAGATCATACAACGGAACGTTCGCAACAGCAAGCTCGCTGCAGCACGTGCCACATTCGGAATGCGCAACCTCCTTCGTGGCGACATCATTGATTACGCAATGCGCGCTGGGGACACGATGTCTCGTCTGACGAAGAGGAGCGTGAAGATCGGCGCTATCAGCTTCGGCAAGAAGAGGCAATCGCAGCCGGCCCGCGGAGTCGACAACCTCTTTGCCCAATCGTGCATGTAAGACAGCTCCAGTTGTTTGTTTCCCATCTTCATACTAACGCATCTGTTCCAGTTCGAAAGCCGCGACTCTCCGAAGCAGCAGATATCCATCAGTAATTTTACACGTGTCAGATTTGTCAGAAAGTCGGACTTTTGGGCAGTCCGACATTAGACCCTCATCTGACCCATCCGACCATCCGATTTTTGGTGCTCAGCACCCGTTGGAACTGGGCCGTAGTTCATAAATTGTCGGACCACACGATTAGAAGACTCAAACAATGATATATTGTGTTAATACTACAGTGCACATTCTAAACAACACGAAAGCGCGGCGAGCTCCTGTCCGCGTGCTGGTGCGGATGGTGTTCCATCTCCCAGGGTCGCGTCCGCACGAGAGGGCTCAGCGAGGGCGAGAATAGCTCCGGCGGGGCGCGGGGCGCTGTCATCGGCATATTAGTTATGCCCGCGCGCGGTGTGCGTTCACCTGCACCTGGATGTCCATCAGCGACCATGCGGGGGGGAGGAGGGCCGTCGAGCGCACCAGGAGCTCCCGGAGGCACGCAGCGGCGCGCCCATCGCGAAATTGTCGTTAGTTTCGAGCGAGACGAGACCATCTTCGACGCTGACATCGGGCACACCACCCTCGTCGTTGATGATGTGCGCATCTGATGGAACGTCAATCCCAGGTGGTGGGTGCAGCGGCGTCGGAGACGATGCCCACCATGCAGCAGGAATGCGTGGTCCGGATCGTGCCTCCGTCGTTCTGTTACCACTCAGGAGGGGGCGAAGGGTTGTCGTCGTCACGGCTTGTGTCCATATCCACGTCGCCATCTCCATCTCTGGGCGAGAGTTCGCCGCCGAGGTCGAAGTCAAAGGCCTGGCCGAGTTGTCTTGGTCGCGGACGTCTCCGCTGAGGTGTCTTCCTCCTGCGCCTGCACACACGACGAGCCCGCGGGAGGCCGGGCAGCCTCCGTCTGCATTGGCTCTTGTCCTGCGGTTAGGCATACACGCACGCCGCCACGAGTCTCGGTACGCACCTCATGCGATGCGTCGCCACCCCTCCCTGAGGGTTCGACCGCCCTCGCCTTGGGCTGCTCCGACACCTGGGACTCGAGCGCGCGCTGGATCGCCACGATGGTGTTCTGCTCGCGCTGCTCCCTCGCCCGGATCTCTGATTGCGCCTGCCGCCGGGCGAGCCGCTGCGTGCGCGTCTCGCGAAGCATGCCATTTGCGGTGACGGCGGGGCCGATGGTGACCCTTTGCGGGTGATCCAGGCCTCGAGAATGCAGTCAATGACCTTGCTGAGGGTGCCGGCCTCAAAGACGCGTGAGCGAATAGGTTTCGAACCAAGGACGTCGATGTTGGCTACGCACCGGAAGGCGAGGGAGGAGCGCTAGCTGGCGTGCTTGTCATGCCTCTTGGGAAAACTCTGACAGGTGTTCTTCGCCGTCGGGTCGGGCGAGGAGCGCGGTGATGAGGGGACGGGCAATGAGGCGAGGGCTCAGGGGAGGAAGATGGCAGGGGAGGAGATGGGGATGACGAAGGTGGTGCTGGCAGTGCCAGGCGCTGGATTCCGCGCGCCACGCGTCGGTTCCCACGCGTCCCCGAAGCGGAGGCGCACCTCCAGCTGCCAGCACGTCGTCGACCTACCTCCATCGCGTCTCCCCTCCGTCATTGCCCGACTCTCTGGACCTCACCCGGCGCCCTTGTGCCCTTGACATCGCCCACCTCACCCACTGGTCGCCATGTCACCTGCATCGTCCCCAAACCCATGTCATCCGCGTCATGTACGTCACCTCGACTAAGTCACTGCAATTCCCTCGTCGCTGATCCACATCCATGAGCTCAAGCAGGAGAACGAGCTCCTTGCGCGCGAGGTCAAGGAGCTCCGGCGTCGCTTCGAGGTCAAGAAACTTGGGCAGTGGCAGGTGAGTATATTCCCAACAACCGTTTTACCAGCCCCCATGCAGACCAACACTCGCCCTCGTCCGATTGAGATACCCCCGACTTGATCACACAACCGTACCAAGCACACACACCCGCAGCGAAAGCCGCTGTGGACGCGAGTGAGTGAGAATCCTACAATGGATTTAAGTGTTTGAGAACTCACTGTCTCCCTCTCCCAGCCTATGTGGTGCTCGCAGTCGGGGAAGGTCCACACGTACGTCCCTCCGCTTCTATTTTGACCGCCTTGTGCTCGCACTCACCCCCGTCGCTTTTCCCATCTCACGGAAGGTGTTCGGTCCAACGTGCTCATCCCAGGCCCATCGGCGGCACGGACTACACTACCCGCTCGGGTGCGACGGCGACGTCACAGGCATGGCGAACACGGTCGTCGACCTCGCATCCCCCGCCATGTGCCATGTCTTCGATCAGGTCTTCGCCGTTGACGGCGCACCCATCGATCACGAGCCAGTACAACCCACCTCACAGTGTGGGTACAGCGCCGCCCCACTACGTCGCCCACCTCACCTGCCCGTGTCGCCCACGTCTGCCATGTTCAAGGATCCACATCCCTGCCGTGTCACCCTCCGCCCACATTCCCCACGTCTGCCGTTGCCCATCTCGTTTCCTCGTCGCCTGCGCCTTCCACACAGCCCGCGTCACCCGTCTTGTGCACGTGCACATTGTGTGGAACAGGGCCTCTGGCGCAAGCCCACGCCGTTCACGCTGCTGCGGTCGATGGTGTCCGCCTCGCGTGGATCGTCACCTCGTCCCGCAGGCTAGCATAGGGGAGTACGCATGCCATGGCCCTCGCGCTTCCCCTCGCCACACCCCGTTGCCTTTGCGGTCGCCACGCGCATGGACGGCGATGAATCCGGGGCCGTGGCTGGAGCCCATGGGTGAATGCGCATGCGCCACGAGTCGGACGAGCATAGTTGGCTGTGGCGTAGACCACGCAGCCCGCGCCGCCGAGGGAGCCCCACGCGCTGGCATCCTCACCATCCATCTCCCGGGGCAGACGGCAGCCGCTTGCGTGTAGATAAAAAGGCTATGTACTTATATACAGCACTTAATATACGCATTTTAACAGCCTGTTCAGCCCAGATTGCGTGGGTTCCAGTCTCTCACAAAAGTCGGATCAAGGCCGGAATGTCAGCACAAAAGTCGGATTGAGGTCAGAATGTCAGATTAGAAGGATACGACAAAGTCGGATAACAATTTTGACGGGGTCAGATGTCGGACGGTCGGACAGGTCAGAAAGGGGTCAGATGGGTCTGTACAGACCTTTTCAGACACTGTCTGACACGTGTAAAAATACTGATGTCCTTGGTATCCCTCGCTTCAAGGAACTCCTACGACGATTCTTGTTTGATCACGAGAACCCCGATTCCGAGCAGCCAGGCGACGCAGTGAGCCTTCAAGACTGCCCTCACATCGCCTCCTCCGCGCGGATCCATCTCTTCAATCACGCCATCTCTACCTACTATGCCCCCAGCGAGATCCACAGCACTAACGGTATGCATCGCGACCTTCTGCGATGCAACCCGAGGTGGTTCCACGGCAAAGGACGATATGACACTTGTCTTGTACAGATCGATGATGGCGCGGTCGGCCTCGCAAGCATGATTCCCGCGCGGATACTCTCCTGTTTCTCATTTCGTCATCAAGGCAGCTGACATGAATGTGCGCTAGTGGAGTGGTTTGAGTACGAAGACGACAGTCCCGACCCTATCACCGGCATGTGGATCGTGCAGCCCGAGTTCAACGAGCACAACCAGAAGGCATGCGGAGTCATCCCCATCGACTCCATCGTCCGGTCTGTCCATCTCGTCGGGGTGTGCGAGCAAATCACCATGCCCCGCGATCACGATTATCGGGACTCTCTGGACGCCTTCTCACGCTTCTACGTCAACTGGTACTCTGATTATCACGCTCACGAAGTCCTGTAGGCCGCAGGATTCGTATGACAGAAGCGCCGTCTGGACTCCGGCAGATGCTGCCGGCTCCCCTTGCCTTGTCTCTTCGTCCACCCTGCTCCTTCCTCTGTTCTCGTTTATCCCACCTTATGTCCACGTCACCTTCTTTCCACGTCAACCTCACTCCATTTTCGCCCACGCCCAGGCATAGGCACCTGTGCAATGACCCCGTCAAGCTCCCCCACCCCGATGCACTGTCCACCGCAAGACGCCACCGTTCACCACGAGACCCTCCACATATACGCGCCCATGACGCTCGCGCTGCACATGTAGTAAGTCCTCTCATTACCACCTTCTCACACGTATGACTTAATCTCGGTCAGAACTCCCAGGACTCCCCAGTCATCTCGTTCTCTGCTCCCATGTGCTCGCGCGATGGGGTCGGCAGATCGCAGAGATTGCGGTGTCGCGCAGCACTATCACGCACATGGCATCCAACACCGATGCCGGCCCACTCTGGGGACCCGACGTGCGCGAGCAGAAGCCGGAGCGCCGAAGTTTGGCCCTCTGCGCCCGCCGCTGGATGGGCAATGGCAGGCTCTCGCACGTAACCGCACTTTCCCTTGGTCTTCCCCGACTTCCCCTACTTCTCCCGACCGTCAATGCCGTACCCACGCCCCCAGCGGCCCACCCACGCCCGCTCCACCAATGTTCTCTCACTCCACGACCAGTTCCCAACGACGGGCTACGCACCGGGGAAGCGCTCCGAGCTCCAAATCATGAGCATCATGCTCATCTTGCCTGCGCATTGGTTAACTCAGCGCACCCGCACCCACGCCAGCGCCCGAACCTGTGGCAGACGATGGTGAATACGACGGGCGCAAGCGTTGTTGTGGTGCGTCGTCACCCAAACTGGAGCGCAGACGCGGTTCTGCAAGTTCGAACTTCGCGGACCTACTCGTCCTCTCTGCCCAGGGGCTGCCGGCAACGAACGCAAGCATCGGAGGCAATGCTCCTCCTGGAGATTAGAGCATCTGTGACCGCCACAGATCCACGACAGTGTGTGGTTTGACGGCGCCGCCTCTCACACCTATCGCGCTCAGCACCCACCTCACGCCCCGATCAGCTCCAGTTGGGCACTTCAAGTCCGTGGTGAAGCCCACGCCATGGTGACCATCGGGGCGGGGGCACAGTTCCTCAAGCTCTCTGGCTGTTTCGCACCCCTGATCGCCACCACGCCCAAATCCCTTGTGAACCGCGCCGACCTCGTCAAGGCCTACGGCGCGGCGCGCGTCTTGTGTGGCGCCCTCTCTGCCGCCGGGCTCGTGGCGGCCCCGGCATCCCGTTCCGGTGCGTGGCAGGGTGTGTCGGGCGGGGGGGCGCTGCGCGCCGGGCTTGGGCTGCTCGCGCGGGGTGGGGCGCTCGTCAGCGCGCTCGGTGCGCCCGGCGGCGGCGGCGACAGTGTCGTGGTGGTTCCGTAGAAAGACTATGCTCGGACTGGAGTGGGCCGCGTCACGCGCAAGGGGTGCTCTGGAGGGCGGTTTGGGCATGTCAACTGACAGTCATTTGCTTACAGCTACCCTTGCCAGAGGTTGCACCTCAGGGGGTGAGCGCGGTGCCAAGGCTGTGAGGTGGCACAACGACCGAGTGTGTAGATAGCCGTGAATAAGTACATGAACTTTTTGTCTGAAGACACGAGAGTTGCACGCCCACTGCCCGGTTGGCTGCCCGTATGCTCTCCAGGTCCCATGTGCTCTCCAGGTCCCGTGTGCTCTCCAGGTCCCGTGTGTTCTCCAGGTCTCCTGACAAGTCCTGGAAATACTTGAATTAGGGCGCCAAGGATCTGCAGGCCTCCAGATGCTGTGCAGAATTACTGATGTCCTCGTCCTCGAACAAAGCTCGGGAGACTGCCCAGACGTGGGTGTCCCCGTGCCCGACACCCTCGCACACACTTCCGGCCCAGTTTCGCTGCGTATGGTCGAATCGTTCAGCATCGACGCGCCCTACTCATTCGCGTCTACAATCCTCGAAAGATGCGAGTTCGGGACCAAGATATCCGCGTTCCACGTACTCGTACATGGAGAATGGGATCCCGAGGATACAGCGCACCTGGACGTCATCAACCGTCTTGTTCCCGACCGCGTCGCGGAAGCCGTGGCTCACTGCACGAATCGCATGAAGACTGGGGACTATCCGTTGCACCCCTCGAAGAGAAAGAGTCCCTACAAGCTGCTTACAGGACACTGGCTCTCCACCTTGGGACCTCTCGCGTAAGGCTGTTTGAGACTCCGGATCACTTTGCAGATCAACCCGCAGATATCCGGAGTCGTGAGTCGTGGTTCATGATCCACACGGCTCCGGATCAGTGCGGATCCGGCTTGGTGAGGATCCGGATCGGGCCGGCCAGATTTTTTGTTATCCGCAGGTCATCCGCGGGTAGAGTCGCATATTTAGACCATGTATTGACGCAATATAATAACTATTCATCACTTCACTGTTACTATTCCAAGTCCTACTCGTCGTCTGAAGTATCAGAGACGTCGGAGTGAACAGGCGTGATGAGCCTGGGAAGCTCGTCCTCGACTGAGGGGTGTGCAGGAGTCACACCAACGACTCCACCTGCACCAGTGATCGTGCCCACATCCACGCTTGCAACCGCGTCCCCGCGCGCGTGCGCACCCCTGCCCGCACGCTTCCCCTTCCCCTTCCCCTTTCTCTTGTGCCTGCGCCTGCGCGTCTGCGACACGGGACCTGCGCCCCCACCTGCCGTGCCCATGTCTGGCCCCAACATCCACTCCGCAGGCGACTTTGAACCAGTGCTCGCCTCCGGGCTGCGATCCTCCTGCTCCCCCTCATGGGCTGTGGGGGGGCGCGCGCTACCTGTGGCCGCGCAGGTGGAATCCACGCCCACGCCCACATCGCCGGAGCTTCCTGCCGCATGGAGGTCCGTTGCCGCCGCAGCACCGGCGAAGAGGGTGTCGACCAAGACTGCGTGGGTCCGCGGGCTTAACGTGGAGGGGCGCGGCGCATCCAGGAGCTCCGCGATGACCAGGGACCGGTGGTATTCCGCGATTTCTTCAACTATGCTCACCCAACGCGCAGGGGGGACGAGACGGCGTGTTGCCGCGACCATCATTTCCCCATACGTTTGGCCAAAGGTCGGTGCACTGCCGCCACCGAGCGAGGGATCTGTGCCGAGGTCGTAGAGCTCAGACAGTGCGGCGAGCTCATCCGAGAAAGACGTGGATGGGTTGTCAACGCCAGGGTGTGTGGGATTAAGATAGGTGTCGGAGACTGGAGCGAGGGTGGTGGCATCGCCGATTGAGATGTCGGAGGTAGTAGGCAGGGGAGATGGGGGACCAACGGTAGGGGCGGGCGTACTAGACATCTCGGTGGGAGGAAGGGAAGCCTCGAGAGGGGTGACGATCGGGATACGGAAGACCACGGGAAGAAGGTGGTCGTTGGAGGAAAGAACCTGTGAGATACTGTGTGAGTGTGTGTGCAGGATATTATGATATTCTTGTAGACATACTCAGACGGAGATCGCGAATATGAATGCACAGGTGGATCTCGCAAGGAGACGTAGGGCGCCCAACGTCGTTTGTGTGCTGAGGGCACAAACAGGCCGCGCGAGATGTCGTCCGCACGAGATGTCGGCCGCGCGAGATGTCAGCCGTGCGAGGAGACGGTGGGTCGTTGATTGCTCAGCGCAACTTGGCGATAAGTTGCTATTAGTGCGAGGGGATGGCTTGTCGGCGCGAGGGGATGGGTCGTTGGCGCGAGGAGATGGGTTTCCCGTCAGTGCGAGGGGATGGGTCGTCCGCGCGAGGAGATGGGTCGTCTGGGCGAGGAGATGGGTCGTCCGCGCGAGGAGATGGGTCGTCCGCGCGAGGAGATGGGTCGTCTGGGCGAGGAGATGGGTCATCCGCGCGAGGAGATGGGTCCTCCGCGCGAGGAGATGGGTCGTCCGCAGGGGCCGTGCGGTTCGGATCGTCGGAGGCTCTTGCCGGCTTGTTTGAGACCTGGAGGGATCCGGAGCTGGGTGGGAGCTGGGCGATTACGCCAAATAAGGCAGGTGATCTGTTAGGCACTGGGTGAGATAACGATCTGAGGATCATGTTGATCCTCAGATGGTTAGCTCACCCGGACATATGTTTATACCTCAGCAGTGTCAACCATTAGAGAGGCACAGACGACTCACTGAGAGGACATGGGTGGTGGTAGGAGCGACGCAGACGTGGCAGCGGATGTGGAGTCCTGCGCGGCTCCCGTCAGGCGTGGGCCTGAGAGTCGAAGCCCTCGCTTCGAGCAGGAAGCAAGGTGCTGCTTTGGGTGATGTCGCGTGTGGTCAGGCGTGGAGGCTGACTCGTGCCATCACCAACTCCTTGCCCTCATCGCCTCTATCGATGCGTTTTCTCCCCCCCTCTGCTCTCTCCTCCCGAACTCAGTCTAGACTCTACTAGTCCTACTGCGATCTTTTCCTGCTGGAACTATCGCGTTATCGGTCGCAAGGTCTCATCAACGCGTGCATCGTTGCAAATCAACTCAGCACGCACACACGACACTCCGACTGCCCCATGAACATGAACATTGCAGTGTTCCTGGCCCAACCACCTCATGGACCGTCTCGTGCACCTCCCCCTGCTCATGATTGGGTATCAAGCACCCTGCCAGGGCGAACGGAGCACCGGAATGGTACTCATCTTGGTGAGCACACTCTGAGCTATCCCGTCATTGAGGCAGGACACAGAGCTCTGGGCTAACATTACCTTCGAAAGGGACATTCAGGAGTGCGCGATTCAACCTCCTGGGGAGGTTTTATACTACGGAAACTCACCCTGGTGAGTTCAGAGATCCCACTCTACCCCTCGCCCTCTGACGATTCGCCTCCCCTCGACGTTAGTATGCCCGCCGACTCCCCCGCCGAGAACCCCCTTGCCGCTGCGGTAGCGGCTGCCAAACGTCCCCGCTCGGAGACCGTCACGCAGGAGTCTGCCAGGTACATCCGCTACTACTATCTTTCATTGCACTTTCCTAACACACTTTCTTCAATCTACCACAGTGCCACCATGCCTAGCGGGCGCGACAAGCGGCGTGCGAAGGTACGGCGCACGAGGTCGACTACCTCTGTATCCTCCAAGTCGGTCACAGAGGACGACTCGGACAAGGACTCGAGCGCCATACCTTCTGACTCCGACAGTTCCGACGGCGACGATGGTGTTCGTGGCCTGAAAGAACGCACTCGCGCAGCCGCGGAGAACACTGGGATCGTGGGCAAGACTGATCGCCAGACTCGGTTCGCAAGGCGGTTCCCGAACATGACCCCGGAGGAGATTTTAGGTAAGTCCGATCGCTCATCTCTCGCACGAACATATTGCTGATATCTTGCAGCGGAGCTTGCAAAGGGTTGGCGTTCAGATGCGTATTTGCACTTCGAATTCCCAACCGTCATTCGAGGCCCCAACGGGACTATAAGTCATCGTTTCGTTTGCAAGGAGTACGTTGTGCGATTTAGTATGTGTTGACCATGACTTACATACTCTCTACAGGCACTCGTCTAAGAAGGTCGATCGTCCGGACTATCAAGAAAGCACCGGAAATCTCGTGCGGCACGTGAACAGCTGCAACCCTCAGAAGAAGCCAGTGGCCACAGCCGGCGTTCAGCTCATTGAAGATTTCGCCGCCGGGGTCACGTACACTCCGCATCGCATGCGGTTCCTGCTTGCGATGTGGTGTGCACGAGACCATCGCCCCTTCACCATCGTGCAGGACAAGGACTTCCGTGCAATCTTGGCGATGCTCTACAACAAGGTCGCTCTCCCAACTCGCCAGACGATCTCTCAAGACGTCCGCGACATCCATCTGGAGGCGAAACAGCGGGTCATCGACCATCTCAAGGTACGTAGTCTATCCCAACCCTCTGCCGCGACACCTCTGACATTGTAATCAGAACGTCGAAGGCGGCATCCATGTCTGCATGGATGGCTGGACGTTGCCAAACGTGATCTCGTACCTTGGGATCACTGTCCACTGGACCGAAAAGGGGGTCATGAAGCATATTATTTTGGACTTCGTCAAGTGAGTTCTCCACTGCACGCTGTGCACCCACTGCGCGAACTAATACCCGACCTCCCTTCAAAGGCTCACCAAGTCCCACACTGCTATATTCCTCGCCGACAAGCTCGAGGACTGTCTCCGCGAGTACGGTATCTTTGACAAGGTGAGCCCCCGGTTCTCTCTCACCCTTCCCTCCTCTCGCGTGCGCTCCCCACCCCGGTCCCCGTAACTCGTGCCCTATAAAGCCTTGCGGTGCATGCTGACACCATTCAACACCCTCCAGGTCATCGCTGTCACATGCGACAATGCTGAGGTCAACACAGCACTCATGCGTCAGCTCCATACGCGCGCGCCGTTAGCCCGGATCGGCGAGGGCCATGTCCGTTGCTTCGGACATGTGTTGAACCTAGTCAGCAAGGTCCGTACCTACGATGTATAATGCTGATATATTGTCGTCTTATAATATTTATAACACCATATCAGGCTGCCGTCAAACCTTTCTTGAAGAAGCGCGGCCCCGCCGGCAACGCGTTAGAGGACGACGAAGATGCCAGAGTGTTGCATGATGAACACGACGACTTCTCCGACGACGGCTCAGATGTCGACTCGGCAGACGAGAATGAGGGCGTAGAAGTCGACCGCGCACGTGAGGATGCAGACCAAGGTATCATTGACGATCTCGGTGACGATGACGACACGCCGTGCACGCCTGAAGAGGAGAAGGCCGCAATTCTCGCTCTTGAGAAGGTGAGTTAAATTCCTTGACCGCTTGTCATTGAACACTCACATAGTGTGTCCTACGGTAGCTTATCAAGCTCTCGGGAAAGGTTTGGAACAGTCCCCCCGTTCGTGCTGAGCTGGAAGAGCTTGCCAAGAGCGCGAACATCGACGCGCGTGTCCTCATTCGCATGGTCCGCACCCGATGGAACAGCCTCGTCAGTGTCATCGCCCGCGGACTTGAAATGAAGGACGTACTTGGCCCACTCTGCGACAAGTACGAGTTCAATCGCACCGGAGGTGTCCGTCTCCGTCGCTTCATCCTCAACGAGGATGAGTGGTCCATCCTCGAACAGCTCTACCACCTCATGGACGTAAGTACGATGTACTTTTTCCTGCACCCTTCGCTGATGATCTGCTTTCTCATAGCCTTTCTTGTACGCGACCACCCAGATCTCGTCCAACACCCGCGCGCTTCTACACGAAGTAATACCTTTCATTGACGTCCTTACGAAGCACCTCGACGATTTTGTCGACCAAGCCGATCTTCACCCGGTCGTCCGCAAGGGTGCGCGTGCCGCGCGAGCGATCATGAACAAGTATTACAGCAGGACCGACGACACTCCAGTCTACCGTATCGCCATGAGTACGTACTAACATCCACATATCACCCGTCCACTCTCTGATGTTCCATGTTTCGTAGTTCTTCACCCAGCCCTCAAGCTCACATACTTCCGCAAAGCGGGCTGGACGCCTGAGTGGATTCAAATTGCGCGCGACCTCACCAAGGAGGTCTGGCTGAACTACTACAAGATCGACACCCCTGCCAATGACGATGACGAGCCACCCTCCACGCCTGCCGCCTCCACCTCTGCGTCGACATCTCGGTCGTCCGCATCAGGCGTCAAGAGCCGTGCTGCGCGCAAGAGCTCTCATAGTGTGAGCGCTGCCGTAAGTCACACCAAATCCCTCGCCGTGCTTGACGATCCCAGCTCACATAGTCACACTTCTTTCGCAGCTCTTTGCCAATATTACTGCGCGGGCGTCGCGTGACGCTACTGATGCTCTCGAAGAGTACCTCAATGCGCCGCCCAAAACGACTGTGAAGGACCCACTCGCCTATTGGGCTGGCGCGCTCAAGGGCAAGTCTGAGGACCGTGCACTCGCGCGCATGGCCCTGGACTATCTGTCTATTCCTGGTATGTTCCTATCTGTGTCGTTCTCTGCACTGTTATTGAATATATCGAAACCCAGCGACCTCGACTGATGCCGAGCGTGCCTTTTCCCGAGGTCGCCTCACGGTGTCCCGCCTCCGTCGTTCTCTCGGCAACGATAGTGTTCGTGCGAACACGATCTTGGGGTCATGGGCTCGTGTTCCCGGCCTCATCCCGGAAGAAGAAATGATAGAGTTCCTGAAGGACAAGAAGGGCGCGCGTGCCCGTCGTGCTGGTGACGCGCCCCCCGAGTCGCCCACTGACATTATCACTATTGATTAGATGTGTATGATCGCCCCCCATCCTTCTCATATGCCCACCACCCACGTACTTCCCTGCCCACATTCATCTACTCCTGCACATTGAGTCCCTTCCCTTTTTCGCATTCCCAGCGCCTGCGCAATCTGGTCTACAGCCTCCTCACTTTTGTATGGTCTCCTGCCACGACACGTGTTATGCATCCACCTTTGTTTGGCTAGCCCCACCCCATGCGCCTCACTGCCGTGCGTGCACACCTCGCGCGGGTCCATACTCCCAGGCGACCAGACGTCCCGCCGCCCGCCGGCACGCCCACACCTCCGCGCGATGGTCAACCGGATGTCCCGCGCGGCGCGCGCTAGGAGGTACAATGCCACTGACTCCCTCTATGGCTGCGCAAGAGCGCCGTGACCCACCATGGATCCATTGCGGCGCATTCTGTGTGCTTAATCCTAATGAAAGTTGCAATATATGTGTGCGGATCCACAGTATCCGTGGATCCACACGGGTCACGACTCAGTTCGTGGGTAGACCCACGGGTCACGGTTCCGGCTCCCGCGGGTCCAGGTCTTCCAGGTGATCCGATCCGCACGACTCCAGGTCAAGCCTGTCTGAGCGCCAGTGATCCGCGGATACGACTCAGGATCACCCGCGGGTAGATCCGCAAACAGCCTTACTCTCGCGCTCGGCGAACGGCAACCATGCGCACCGGACGGGCTCAGCATCGCGACGCTGTTCTGTCCGCCCCCGTCCGTCCTTCGATCTGGAAAGGAACACAATCCCACACCGATGGAGGCTGGACGAGACACGCCGCCTGTTCTTCCGCTTCGGGAGCCTGCGTTATCCAGAGCCGGAGGAGGACCCGGACCCTCCGGCGTGAGGAGCTACCTACCAGGTGAAAAGATGACCCCTGCTTGCTCAATTCCCGCTGATCACCCGCTCCTCACCCAGTCACCCCTGCGCGAGAAGACACCCGTGCGAAGACGCCTACACTGCCCACGCGGACAAACACGACTCACTGCCGCCGCCTCCATCATCCATCCTCACCAATGCACTCCGCACGGCCGCCAGCACTCGGTCTCTTTCTCTTTTTCTTTCTTTCTCATTACTTTACTACTACTGTACTCTTACTATACTTGATCCGGTCTCGCTCTCTCTCCATCCCCACTCATACACACCCCCGAGCCCCACCGGGCTCAATGGCACGCCGGCTTATGCCTGCCAGCACGTTTCGGTCCACTGTGCCTTCGGGAACGCTCCCGAGGGTGCATATGCGAAGACGAACACCCCCAGCGCAATGCGACTCTATACCTACGAATACTTTGTATGTTACGCCTACCATAGGGCTCCGCCCTCAAGGGCGATAAACGAGGATTCAAAAAAAAAAAAAAAAAAACACCGATGGAGGACATGGCTATCAACCACTTCTGCAGCGCCCTGCGCACGAACCCGATGTTCGTGCCCGAGGAGCTGCACGTCTGCACCGCCTACTTCGTCCGGAATAACGTGGCCTGGAAGATGCTCTTCGCCGCGCTCCCGCGGCTGCGGCTCCTGCGATTCACCGACGCCTTCATCTTCGACCCCGCGGCCCGCGCGTTCGATACCTTGCACAGTCTGACAAACGCGCGGGGTGTCGACCGCGTGGTGGCGGGGTTGGAGGAGGTGCGCATCGAGATCGCGAAGGATCGGAGGGGGGAGTCCAAGTCCAAGGAAGAGATGTACCAAATGTTAGACGCACTGAGAAATTTTGGACGCGCACGCGTCGACAAGGGGCCGGACAGGAAGCTCAAGCTCTTGACGCTCCGTTTGCCTGGTGACATGGGGAGGCCGAGGAAGGGCGTGCGTCAGAAGACACGCATCGCGCTGGCGAAGGTGTTTGGCCGGGTGAGCTACGAGTTCCGTGAAGATATGGCGCAAGAAAAGGTTCTAGAGGTCACAGTGCTTCCAAAGAAGAAGACTTGGGGAGACTGGAGGGAAAGTTCCACCCGGCGGGTCGAGGTCGAGGTCGAGGTCAGAGGTGATCAAAAGGAGGATTCGTTAATGGCGCAAGACTCGTACCACTTGCTTCCGGTTGACGACAAAGTATGCCGGTCGTAGAAGTGCGCGCACGGCTGTAAGGGTATATAGTAGTCAAGGGGAGAGTTGGAAGATAAGGCGCACAGCCGAGGATAGCCGAGGCGAGGGAGATTAGATACTGGTGGCATGTGCTTCTGTAATTGATCAGAGATCAGTTGCTGGGCGACCAACGCGCGTGACGCGCGTCATCTCTTTCCAAGAACCAAAAAACAAGATGGGCTACAAACTCTCTCTTATCTTTTTCCCTGCCTGACAAAATGTTCCGAAAACGCCTCTAAGATGCCCTTCAGGGTACACTTCCCTCGACCTGCACTCTCAGACTCAGTCATATCACCCCGTGAAAACTCCGACGCCTTCCCACATAAGCAGCGCATGAACGCTCGAAGCGATCTCTCCTCTTTCATGCGCGGCGTATCCATCACGAACTGCTCCCACAAGGAGAGCCAAAAGCGGGTATGCGGTCTTCCAGTGCCCATCACTTGACTCGGCGCAGTGAGTCCAACGTGCCACTCCGCCACTCTGTCACCTTCGACTGTTTACCATCACTCACTCTCGCCATCCCCTTTGCTTTGGCAGAATTATATCTCATAGACAACGGTAAGTGAAAATTTTGAGTCTCACCTGTACCTCACAAGATCAGAGTCAATTGATCTGTGATCACCCCCCGGGGTGATTCCACTTTCGGTAACTGCAAACGTCTCTAAGCCTGCGTACTGTAGTGCCTCTACGGATATCGATGAAGATACCTTGTAGGGAAACGTTAGAACGCGGGCACATGCCCAAGTCCCCGCCCCCTTCCCCGACGTCCCCGAGGGCTCGGCCCAGCCGTCCTCCGCGCTTCCCCGGCACGCGTGAGCAGATTCCCGCGCCGCGCCGCCGCCCGCCCTTGATGGCCCCGGTATATCCGGACGCTGCGCGCCACCGGGTCTCCGCCGGCGCCTCGCCTCTCCGCCACCTGTGCTCGCCGCCCCCAACAGCGAGCTCGCTGTTCCTGTACCCTGCCTCCCCCTCCCCTCCGTTTCCATCCGTTCTTTTTGGTACCTGCTTGTATTTTAAATGCGCACCTAATGATACACAATGCAATAGCTACAGTTGGCTGGGTGTGCCTGCACTGAGCCCTTAAATCCCCCAAAATGCGTGCAACATAGGAACATATAGAAGCAGTCCATCGATGGGATAAGTTCTGCATAAGTTAGCTGTATATGAGAGCCTCTGTAATCTGAACTTGCAGGTGGATAGCTGAAGGGGTGAAGGCATGATGTCATATGTTATTTCAGAATGACATACTCCACAGTGATATGGAATACACATTTATCGTCTTATGTACACCTAGAATCGTTCATAGAGGACATTTAGAGTGTATTGCAAAAGACAGCAAGTCAAAGTACGATGTTCTAATGAAGATATGACATATACTCAGAAGGGGGAGTTGGCTTGAAAATGCGGTCTTCATATGTTTTTGTGCAGACCTCCGATCACTGTACATCTTGTTGCATCATGTTTACATGTATGTGGAGAGCTCAGATCGTTGTTTTGGTGCTTATCGGTGAAGGACTGAATACAGGCCATGGTATGTCATTTTTCTATGACATAACGTATAGTGAGATAGCATGTGCTCCGATTGTTATTCTGAAAAGCGGAATAGAACAGGGTACTCTGCTGCTCAACGATGCAGAAGAAATCTCGAGAAACGGTTCAGGAGTGGCTGAGATGTGGCAGATGAGGTTCAAGGGTGCACAGTGTTGAAGGTGGTTCAAGGGCGTCCTCTGGACAACTTGCCATTCTAGACCCATATGACATATCTCAGCCACTCCTGAACCGTTTCTCGAGATTTCTTCTGCATCGTTGAGCAGCAGAGTACCCTGTTCTATTCCGCTTTTCAGAATAACAATCGGAGCACATGCTATCTCACTATACGTTATGTCATAGAAAAATGACATACCATGGCCTGTATTCAGTCCTTCACCGATAAGCACCAAAACAACGATCTGAGCTCTCCACATACATGTAAACATGATGCAACAAGATGTACAGTGATCGGAGGTCTGCACAAAAACATATGAAGACCGCATTTTCAAGCCAACTCCCCCTTCTGAGTATATGTCATATCTTCATTAGAACATCGTACTTTGACTTGCTGTCTTTTGCAATACACTCTAAATGTCCTCTATGAACGATTCTAGGTGTACATAAGACGATAAATGTGTATTCCATATCACTGTGGAGTATGTCATTCTGAAATAACATATGACATCATGCCTTCACCCCTTCAGCTATCCACCTGCAAGTTCAGATTACAGAGGCTCTCATATACAGCTAACTTATGCAGAACTTATCCCATCGATGGACTGCTTCTATATGTTCCTATGTTGCACGCATTTTGGGGGATTTAAGGGCTCAGTGCAGGCACACCCAGCCAACTGTAGCTATTGCATTGTGTATCATTAGGTGCGCATTTAAAATACAAGCAGGTACCAAAAAGAACGGAGGGAAACGGAGGGGAGGGGAGGCAGGGTACAGGAACAGCGAGCTCGCTGTTGGGGGCGGCGAGCACAGGTGGCGGAGAGGCGAGGCGCCGGCGGAGACCCGGTGGCGCGCAGCGTCCGGATATACCGGGGCCATCAAGGGCGGGCGGCGGCGCGGCGCGGGAATCTGCTCACGCGTGCCGGGGAAGCGCGGAGGACGGCTGGGCCGAGCCCTCGGGGACGTCGGGGAAGGGGGCGGGGACTTGGGCATGTGCCCGCGTTCTAACGTTTCCCTACAAGGTATCTTCATCGATATCCGTAGAGGCACTACAGTACGCAGGCTTAGAGACGTTTGCAGTTACCGAAAGTGGAATCACCCCGGGGGGGTGATCACAGATCAATTGACTCTGATCTTGTGAGGTACAGGTGTTGAGTCTCAATCCCGCACTGTGCTCACGCGCATCCAGCGGTCATCGTTAGAATATCTCGAGCTCAATGCGAAGAGAGCGTCGCCGCGCGAGGAATCTACCTCCACCGGATGCATCAGGAAAACCCCCACTTGCTAATTAGATCTAATTTGTCTAGTTTGCTCTCTGGTAGATCTAATCTCGTGCAAATGAGTGCTATTATAGAAAGTGGATCTCCTTTGTGCCAAAATATCTCTAATTAGAGCGATCTTAACCCTCTCATTGCAGGTGAGAGCTTAACATCACTAAGGGTACTATTTTATCGATAATTCACACCAATATAGAAGCTCGAGAAGATGAAATATATTGGTGTCTAACTACTCTGTGGCTACATCTGCCGCAACGGGGTCTCAGAGTAAGTGGCCGCCGACACAGGCCGTGAGGGCAACGCAAGAGACGCAGGCGACTTGCTGCCGTGGGGCAAGACGGACGGCGCGGGGGTCACGCGAGGGTGACAGTGCGGGCGGGGTGGGCGACAAGGACGTTAACGCGGGGATGGTGAAGCGGGCGTCGCAGGTGCGAGACGTGGGTGATGCTCGGGCGACACGGCGGACGTTGACGCGGGCGAGGCACGCACTGACACAGGCGACGCTCGGAGGTCGGCGACGCGGCGACAAGACGCAGACACGACGCGGGCAACGCAGGGGCGAGAGGAGCAAGGCGGGCGAGGTCGGCGACGCGGGCGAGACTTGGGCGAGACGTGGGCGAACGGGCGAGACGTGGGCGACGCGGGGGCGAATGCAGGCAGGACGCATGCGAGCAAGGTGGGTGGCGGTCGTCGACATGGGCGCGATTAGGGAGCCGCGAAGATAACGCAGGCGAGGTGGTGAGCGGGCGAAGATGAGTGAGTGCGGACACGGCACGGAAAGACATCACTCACGCTGCTGGGTTTCACCCAAGTTTTGTTTTGGAGTGTGCGCCTGTGTTTGAGCTGGTGGGCATCGTCACGGCGGTGACGTCGACCCCGCGGACAAAGAGGCTGGGGGTGGTCGTGTGGGCGGGAGTCATCGACAACGTGGAGGGGACGCGGCACAGACGGGCGGTGTCGATGGGGACCCTGTTACCTTCGACGAGCGGGGGCGGGGGTGCAGTGGGGTGCGTGGTGAAGATGAGGGAGAAGAGCGCAATGATGAAGGGGTCGGTGTTGTAGAGTGAGGACGCGGGGGTGTGGTAGATCGTGTGTATCGTTGTCATGGTGTCCATGGTCCCGCCGCCGCCGGTCGTTTCGCTCACCAGGCGAGGAGGGTGATACAGGCGAGGGGGTGAACGGGCGAGGGGGTGAACGGGCGAGGTGGGCGAGGTGGGCGTGACGTAGGCCACGAGGACAATGAGAGAGGGTGCGCAGGGAAAGGTGGAGAACTCACCGTGGAAGAAATCATTTATTTCGCGTGTGGTCCTTGCATGAGAGCCGGTCCCAGGGAGCGGGAAACTAGCAGGTGAGCGTAATGGTGAAGTACTGAAGCTCAGGGGGTGAGAAGCTGGCGCGGTCGATGTAGGGAAGATCCGCGCAGAGCAGCAGGAAGCCAGGCAGAGGTTGAGGACGGCGAGGATGATGAGGGTGGTGCTGGTGGTGCCAGGCGCTTGACTCTGCACGACGCGCGTCGGTTCCCACGCCTCCACGAGGGAGAGGCACGCTCCGGCTGCCAGCACATGTCCATCTTCCACCATCTCGTCTCCTCCTTGGCTCTCGTCGCCGTCCTCGTATCTACACCCTTCTGCCTTTGACCTCACCCACCTCACACGGCTCACCACCGCGTCATCTTGCCGCATTCCCCTGCCACTGATCCGAATAAACGAACTCGAGCAGGAGAAGGGGCTCCTCCGGCGTGAGGTCGAGGAACTATGGAGCTAGCTCTAGGTCATTAGCAGCCCCTCCGGCGCGCTCGGACACGCTGTGTCTCCTATACCCTTTCTTGGTGAGTATTTGTTCCGTCTCTGTCTCGTCCGCCGCGGCTGAAGGACTCCGACCGCACGCGCGTGCGCAACGTGCTCCCCTTGTTCTTGCTCCAGCAATTGCAGTACGAGCTTAACGAGCTCGACGTTACACGGTGAGCCCCTCTCCCGTATGTGTCACCCAGCGTGAGCTTATGGCGACGTCTCCATGCCACGCCCGCATCACCCACGTCACCCACAACACCTGCGTTACCCACCTTGCCCGCCCACACTCGTGTCGCGATCTAGGCCACATTACTCATCTCGCCCGCGTCGACGGTCGCCCTCTTCTCCCACGCCGCCCACGTACGTGTCGCCCGCTTCTCCCGCATCGTCCATATCGCCCTCTTCGCCCACCTCGCGTGTGTCACCCGTATCAACCACTGGAGCTTCGTGAGTCGTTTGCGAATCTTGCCGAAATCGTTTCTGACTGACGGTCGTGGTGCACGAGCATACCGGCGTGCATGTCGGCTCAAGCACAGGTGGCACTCGAACTACACGCAGACGAGCCGTTCGACTCGCGCAGGGTCGCCGGCCTGCCGTTCATCCATCCACCCCTCCCAACACAACCGCCTCGTCCTCGTGGTCCGCCCGGTCCGTCTCACCTGCGTCATCTACTTTGCCCACATCGTCACCTCGGCCATGTCGCTCACCTCGCTCCTTGCACCTACCTCATCCGCGTTGCATGACACGTCCATGTCTCGCCCCCGCGTCGCCCGCCCCCATGTCACACCCGCGTCATTCACGTCGCCACGTTGCCCACGCGCCTCGTCTGTGTCGCCCGCCTCCCCTTGCCAGGTTATCTATGTCGCTAGCGTCATCCATAGTCACCCATCTCGTCTGCATCGTTTATATCGCCTGCGTCGCCGCCCACCTCGCTTGTTCGCCCACGTTGCCTGCCTGTATGCCTGTCTGTCTTGTAGTTTTTAGTCTTTACTCTGTATCTCGTAGTACAACAAATATAGATCTGTTTGCTTCTCTTATACACTTGTGTGATCTATTGTGAGCATTGTGTGAACATATTAGGCACTCATTGAGTGCTCCTTGAGATCTATCTTGCAGCTAATGAAGACCTCATGAAGATCTAATTTGCGTCTAATTAGCTCTAATTAGATGGCTTAGCAATGTACTACTCTAATTCGCTCTAATTAGAGAAGACTTGCTAATAAGCACTAATAAGAGAGAATTTTCTCTAATTAGCAAGTGAGGGTTTTCCTGATGTGTCGACTGGACGAGAAGCCTATCTCCTGAATTCCTCGCGGAGGTCTTTGCCATCGTTGGCAGTCAGCCCGTCACAGTCCCCGACCTGGAGTGTAACGACTCAGAGGCGCCACGCCGCAGTAAACGCAACGTGCCCAAACCCAGCACGACCTTCATGAGCTGGGTCAAACTGATGCTGGTCTGCAAGCGCTGGCACGAGATCGGCTTCAACGCACCCCAACTCTGGCGAGTCGTAATCGTGACTCGCAACCTCGAGGCTCTGCGGTTTCGATTAGAAAGGACGGGTACGATCGCGTTCGATCTCGTCGTGCATCACTCGGACGCCGAGTGTAACCACGCCGCACTCCCTCTCATCCTCCCTCATCTCCCCCGGCTTCGCTCCATCTCCGCCTCTGTTCCGTTGCCCGCGAAGGTTTTATCGGTAGTCAAGACAATCTTGAACGAGACTCTACCAATGCTTCGGGAGGTCGCAATCAAGTACAGCCCTCGCATCTCCGAGCATCCCGACCGCGTCTTACGATACCAACCCGATATCGGTATCACGCCCGCCCGTCATCCTCGGCTATGCCGTGTCGAATCCTTTGGGATAGCGCTACCCTCGGCTCATATCTTCTGGTCGGGGCTCTCATCACTTCGTGTCGGCATCCCCATCGACTCAACATACCCCGAGAACATCGTCAAAGTAGCCAATGACTTCGTCTCGCTCCTGCGACACTGCTCGCGCCTCCGGCACCTCCACGTGGTCGTGGATACACTCCCGTACAGTCTACACCAGATGATGGTCCATCCTGGCATCCCGTCTGCGGACCGCAACAACGCCCACCCGGCACACCTTCTCGCCCTCACCGAGATCGACTTCACAGGCCCGTACGCGTTCGCTGCGCTGATGATGCGCTCCTTCAAGTGCGGTCCTGCAATGACCAGTTTCCGCGTCTCCACGGACATAGACGGCTCAGCTGCTGCTACCGCTCTTCTGCAGCCATTGTCGGGCGCACGGCGAGCATGGCTCCCCTCCAACCCTACTCGCTCTGGCCGCACTGAGCTGCGCCTGTTCCTCTCCCCCGCACTCGGTCCCGCATGGGGAGAAAACCACCCCGCCGCCCTCCACAGGTGCTCCGTCACCCTCTCCACATCGCACCACTTGTGGCAGCGGGAGGCCGCGTCCGGCTCCCAGGTGCTCGTGGAGGTCTGCGGCGCGTTCGCGCTGGAGGAGCTCGTCGTCGGAGACTCCGCCCCGCTCGAGCGCGACTCCTGGACGCACGTCTTCACCGCCTTCCCCGCCCTGCGCGTCCTCCGCTTTACCCGCGGGCCCTCGATCAAAAGCGCGTTCACCGCGCTCGACGCACTCGCGGCGGACGAGTCGATTGCGCCCGCGCTCGAGCACCTCTACCTCACGCTCCGCGAGCTCACGTCGACGCTCGAGGCCCACGACTTTATCGAGGCCATTCGCGACGTCTGTCGGGCGCGCGCGCGGCTCGCGGCTCTGACGCTCCGCCTCCCGCGCACGGGCCTCGTGTACCCGACGTACGTGGAGAGGATCGGGCACCGCGTCCACCGCGCGGCGCTGCTGGAACTGAACAGGTGCTGCGGGTGCGTCACGTGGGAGCTGGAGGGCGAGACGATCGAGGCGCTGTGGGACGACGCGGAGGGTGTCGAGGTGCGTGATGCGGAGACGGGGGAGGCGCGGCGGTGCGGCGGGTTCGTGTTCCGACGCACCTGCGTGGAAGGAGCGCGCGACTGCAAGAAGCGGTACGCGCGGCCGCGGGAGATGTACTGGCGGAATCAGCCTGGGCGTGGGGGGAAGAGGAGGGAGTTGATGGATGTCGATGAGGGCTGGAAGACGGCGTGGATGAAGTGCATGGACGAGGTGAGAAGGGTCCCCGAGAGAAGTCGGCGAGTGGCCGTTGGCCGCGTCAAGGACAGAGTCCCGGGATGGTGGCGGTTCCAAACGGTGGGGGTCAAGACCAGAGGTAGACGGCTAGCGGTATAAGTTTGTGTATTTGGCATGGTTTCCATGGTTCTACGGCACCTGTGAACAGGACTATGAACACCGCCCTACCAGAAACAGAGGAGGAGCAGTGCCCACAGCGGCGTACTCGTCAACACCCGTCCTACCGATGCCAGCAAGCCCCGGCCGAAAGCTGCCTAGTGGGCTAGTCGTAGGCGCTACAGCAAGATGGTGTAGACAATTATGCGCATTCGTGTGTGCTACGTACACAGTCGAATGAACGCCTACGATAGTCCGCACTATCAGTCACAGCTGCATGTCAGACACTCACCTTTCTCTGTGGTTCTATCGCAGCGACGTTATCGAAGATTGCAAACGCTGGACAATACTGGACGGGCGATGCGGAGGTACCAACCACGACTCCAAGTATGGAACTCCAGAACGGCAACCTGAACAAACATGTCAGTGATCGTACGCGACATCTACGAAGCCAAGCCCGCCCCTCATACTCGTCGACACCACCCACCCGTGCAGCGCACCCCGTCGCCAAAGGCTAGGGCCGCCACCAGTGTGCCGAGCAAGCCCGACACACACAATCCGCATAGACGGAGGGACGACCGTCCCCGTGTAGAGGCGGTACTAGAACTGCACAGGACAGCTTCCAGCGAGGCTTGCCGCCAGCAGTCGCAAACCGACGGGCCGAACGACCTCGGGCTGCCAAACCTCGAGGAACACGCCTGCCCTGAAACACCGCTTCGAGCAGGTAACTTCAGCACACGAAGCGTTCGCGCAATGGCGGGCACCGCGTGCGCTGGTCAGGACGTGCCAAGGGCGTGGGGAGCGTCCTGGGGAGGCACGAGCCTAACCACCCCACTCAACTGTGATTCGAGAACCGGGCCGAGCACGAGCGATAGGGCGGTCTGTGGAGACACCGGGACGAAACGTACCTGCAAGTTCGAATGTGCTCAACTTCTGACGTCCTTCCGAGGATCTTGCGAACCTGAAAGCACGATTAGCAACCACACCAACGCAAGACGACAGCTCATGCACGCCGTGTATGCCCCTCGTACTCGTCGACACCAACTCACTGGGTGCCAGCAGCCCCTGTGTATCACCAAGGCCCAAGGCCGCAATACGGGCCGCCAGCGTGCTGAGCGGGCGCGCTCCAACTCAGCAGCAAGGGCGGAGCGGCGTGTCACAGGCGTCCCATGAGACACGCCGATAGCTCCTGTTATAACGACTAGGCAAGGTACACCGGACCAAGCGCTAGACGCCGCCGACGACGCTAATGCGTGCACCTAGTGACACTGCACGCGAAATCGACTTGCTTTGACATGACCTTCCCTCCGCCGCGGCGGGGGGCAGATCAAGACCCACTGGTTGCCAAGCCAGGGGAACACCGAGAACATAGGGCGCACAATGAGCCACGACTGGGCACAGCACACGGGCAACGCCGCGCGCCGCACAGAGTCATCGTTCCCGGTCTCATGGAGAGGGCGTGAGTGGGTGTCCCCGGAGAATCGATAGTCGGATTACGGGACTACATTTGGCAGCCAAACCGTATCTTCATACCGTCTCTCGCTCGCCATCGGTTCAAGAAACGAGGCGAGCACGAGCGATAGGGCAACAAACACGGCGCGCGGAAATGAAAACGAGTAAAACGCACCGTATGTCCTCTGCTGCACCCGGCCGTTGAAAACCGTTGTTTGCTTCATGGCTGACCTACACAGAGATGTCAGTACTCGACAAAGGCAGCATGCAACGACAAACAGAGGTGCTGCAAAACGGCTCTCATATTCACGACGGTTGGTGTGCTTACGCTGCATGCGCAGTTGCATAAAAGCGATGCCCGTATGAAGGAATCCATCTGCGCCGCCCGTAGACGATGAAGACCGCGATCGGCGTCTGCACAAAGGCAACACTCCACCCGAGTAAGTCGACGTAGACGAGGTGCGATGGACATGGTCTCCGCAAGAAGCGAGGCCTGGAGGCGACAGAGGAGGACATGGATTGCCCCGAGGGGGCTTTTGGCGCTGTGGTCGTCCGCATCTGCGTCCTGAGAGGGTGCCTCCAAGACCGCACGGGGCTCTCGCAGGATCCAACACGTAGAGCGAGAACTCACCAGGCAGCGATTCGGCAGAGATTCGCGGAAACGGTTGAAGCTTGCAGATCACCGAGTGGTAGACCATTGCGAGAGCTTAGGATGGAGCTAACGAAGCAGAGAGTGGAGTTCAGCACAGACGATCTTCACGCATGTGGAAGAGAAAGCGGGAGTCGAGCGAGATGCGAGGCGGCGAGTCGCGGCTTGCCCCGAAAATAAAGCGTGGGAAGAACACTTGGGGTCCGTGCGCGCCTCCGCTTCCGCCCTTTTGAACTGGTGAACGTGATCAATGAATCGCCCGCGCGACCATCGCGGGCACGTTTGGAACAGCGAGGGAAATGGTGCGGAACTCGGATGACCGATATGTGATGCCCATGAAGGAAAGCGCGCGCGTTGTGGGACCTACATACGCGCAACGGGTCGACTTATGTAGTAAAGTGGTTAGTGGGTCACAGATGCTGTCTACCGAACATCCGCACACGCTAGATCTCTACGGCAAAAACTTCGGACGCTGACGAACGGGACATGGACAGAATGTCTGGCGCAAATGGTTGCATTCGTGACGTTCGATATGGACACGGTGTACGAAACTAGCCCTCCTCCGAACCGTGATCTTGATACAATTTGTCTCCTACTTGCTGCATTTGGCGTACCCATCGTACAGCTCTGCGAGCTTCGTCCAGTACGGCCGCGCTTCTTCAGCGTGACGGCGGGCGGAGTTGTGCTCACGTTGCTCCTTCTGCCATCAAACACCCTCAGCCGAGCTCTCAAACACAAATCGTCAAGACACACCTGCGAAAGGTTCCCGCCGTCCTTCTCGGCCTGGAGCGCCGTGATGCGGTCCTGCATTTCTTTCACGAGCTGCACACATCGACCATCAGCGGAGACGTCAACCAAAACGTGCGGAAGAACGAACCTTGTCCTTCTGCTCGTCGAACACGATGCAAAAGAGCTCGCCGTGCCGCTTGAGCATGCGACACACCTCCTCGACGCTCTTCTCGACCGAGCCCACGAGCCCGAGCAGAGGCTTGTGCTTCTCCTGAGCAGCGCGCGCACGCTTGAGGCGGGCCTGGGCTTCCTCAAGCTGCTTCTTGACGGTGTCTGTCCACAAAAGCGCCGTCGCGCTCAGAAGCGGTGCGCAGTAAATTGAAGTGAGGCGACGCACCAACGCGAGGGACCGGCTTGCTCTTGTAGCCAGCGGCAGGCTTCTTGTTGCTATTCATGATCCTGTGAGCTCGACAGCGGCTCATGTCTGGTGTCAGTACTCACTCGTCCTCAGCCTTGCCGTGCTCGCTCTTTTTGCTGAGCTTGGCGACTTCGGCGTCCGCCTCATCGCATTCCTCGGTGTCCTCTTTGTCGGTGTCGTCGACGACGCGCTGCAGGTCGTCGGAGATGGCCTTGAACGACTTGAAGAGCGCGTCGGTCTCGGCGGTGAAGCTCGTTTCAGAGTAGATCGACTCCGCTTTCTGTTGAGAAGGTGGTCAGATACGGAGATAGTCATAAACGAGGCATAGGTACGGACGGCGGAGAACATGGTCAACGTGGCAATCTTCTCCTCCGCGGAAGGAGGGTCCCTATCGCCACCGATGGCGAGGTAGGCTGCAAAAGTTGAGATTGGACGTCTGGCTCGCATAATGCATCCTAGACACGTACATTTGAGCAACGCGATGGCACCGCTTGCGGCGTCTTCGGATGCGGTGATCAGCTGAGTGTATGCCTGCGGGGCCGAGTGAGCGACCGGTGCGGAGCATAATGAAGGAACGCACCTCACTAGCCTGAGTCCACTTCTCGACGTGCTCTTCGTTGGCAAGGATCGTATCGACGTCCTTGACCTTACCCTTGGCGTCGGCGAGGAGGCCGCTCAGCTTGGGAGCGTCGCGCTCGAGCTCAGCGACGTGTGCAGCGACGGGGAAGTTGGACATGATGTAGATGTAGTTGGTAGAATTGCGGGTGAGCGTGGAGGAGTGTGTTGTTGGACGGTGTCTCGGGGCACTGCATATGTACTCTCACCCAGCCGGGCGCGATTCGACGGCTCAAAGACCGTCATTGTCTGGACTCATGCAGCGAGCTTCACCGAGGTACGGCGTTCCGCTATACGCGGCCGGAGGGACGTCGCCGGTGAATGGGATGTACCAGAGAGGACAAAGTCAGAGTCAGCTGAGGGATTGGGCAATGGGCGTGCCTCGCTTACCTTTCGTTACGGTGGTGGGTGAGGACAGAGGCCGCTATCGCGTACGTACGACTGAGGTCCGAAGTGCCGCAGTCGACGGCGATGTGTAGGCGAGCTATTGACAACGTCAGGCTTGTCTGGCGGTTGACGGGACGGATGGGGGATCAGTCGCGGTCGAGAACATGGCGGCGTTGAGTAAAGTCGTCGGGTGACACCGGATCAGGGCCTCCGGCTCCCACAAGCGCTCGTTGTGCGGTCTGGCCCTCTTGGGCGCTTTTAACCTTCTTGTTCATTTTCCTCCATGACCTCGACGACCCGCCACTATCCCACTGCTAACGTTCTATTCATGAGTATATATGCGCATGTCCTTGTAAGTTTCAATCAAGTCGGAAATCTGGGAAATGACAACCGATACACAAGCCGAGCAGTGCCTGTACCTTTACGAACGGATACTGACAGCGAGCCCCGTGTTCTCAATAGTAATAGCATTGACTGTCCTGTCGACAGATGAATGTTCCTCGAACACTAGGTCGGCTGCTGTCGGGGCACGTTTCGCCGGCTGTCGGTTTGCACGACTCGTGATGCAGAGTCCGGGCTGCGAGTCGGCCTTCATTGTTTGGAAGAGACACCTTTCGTATTTGGTCAGTGTCTTCGCGTTTCTCTCAGCCATCCGCGTCTATCGCTGACATATAATCTTCGTCCTCAGCGACTCTAGGACTCATCCCTCTTCGCCCACACACCTCGCAGCAAGCCCCCCACCACGCCCGACCATGTCCAACACCGTCACAGACACCCTCCCCGCCGGAACTCTGCCCAAGGCAGAGGAGTACCGCCTCCAGCTCACCAAGGCGCTCGCCGACCCCGCCGTTCGCTCTGCGGCCTCCGCCGGGGTTAAGGAAGGCCTTAAGGCCGCCGCTGCGCGAGAAGCCATGGAGAAGGAAATCGAGGATCTCGGGGACACTACGCGCGTCATCAAGGAGGGGTTCACCGCCGTCGCGAACGAAGTCGCGAGGTTCGACGCGGCCGGCTTCAAGGACGCGGCCGGTCAGCCGACGAACTTGAGCCAGGTGTGGAAGGCGCTCTCGGACGTTCGTACAGCCTTTTTTTCATGTTTCGTGCGGATGTACTAACACGTTTATGGCTCATTGCAGAGGTTCGACGACAGCCTGACCCAAAGTCACGACCTCGCATCTGCTGCGGTGGCCGTCTTGAGAAGTACGTCGCTTCGCGTTCTCCCTCTGGGATATTGCTCATCGTCCTGCTCGCAGTGTACTCCAAGACCATCTTGAACCGTGTCCACCTTGGCGACAACGTGGATGAGCTCAAAGAGAATCTGCGCAAGTTCGAGGCTGTACGATTCTTGCTCGCCTCCACGATCGTTACGCTGATTAATTTGTCACAGGAAATCGCAGCGAAAGCGAAAGAAGCGGCGGCGACTCGCACGAGCTTCATAACCCTTGCGACGGACGTTCGCGCGTTCGGCAACACGCTCCAAAAGGCGATGGAGACTGCCGGCGTCCAACTCGCCAAGGAGCTGCAAGAGGCGAACAGGCAAGTCGAGGAACTCGGGAAGAAGCTGTCAGAGTACGTGTTGTCACCTCCACCGCACTGCTCATTGGCACTCACCCTCGCTCACTTCCCCAGGATCTCGCAGGAGGTATGCACGATGTGGTGTGCATATATTCGACGCTTACTCATCCACCCCCCACAGATCCAGTCGCTCACCTCGGCGGCAGGTGGTATAATCGCCAAAAGCGCGGCCTGCGCGTTCGCCGCGCTTACCATTATATGCCCGATCTTCTGCTTCGGCGTCTTCGTAAGTCCCACCCCACATCCGACCACTTTCTGTCTCACCTCCTGCCCCTGCAGGGGTTCGCGTTCGTTGCGATGAAGAAGGAAGCCGAGATCAATGATCTCCGAAACAAGCACAGAGGTCCGTATTAGCACCCGCATTGCGCCCATCGCATCTCCTGATCAATCTTTCCGCAGACGTCGAGACCCAGCGGACGGAGCAGATGCACAAGGTGAATGTGCTCATGGCGCAGCAGGCGCTCCTGATGCAGTTCCAAGCGTCGCTCCCCAACACGACTGAGCGCGTGAACTCGCTTGCGGCCAAGATTGATACCATCGCGCACGTCTGGCAGATCGTATGTCTCCCAGCTTTCCCCTCTGGCTGTCATGACTGAGAGTGTACGCGTGCGCACCAGCTCCGGTCTGATATGATCCAGCTGAAGACGGACCTTTCACTTGCCGGCTTCAAGGGCGGAGACAATGAGAAGGCTAACGAGGTACGTGTCCTCCGAGATATCTGATGTCGCGCGTCGATCTCAATGATGCTCGTCCAGGACTTCCTCGATACCATCGGGATCACGCGCGATGCGTACCTCCACCTCGCGCACATGTTCGAACTGTACGCGAAGGGATTTTGAGGTTTCTACACCGCATCGGCTCGTTTCTCCGTGATTTCCCTCCGCAGTTTGCATGTACTATGTACTGAGATGGACGGTTGCTGTGGCTCAGCCTTGCGCCCAATTCTATGAGCTCCGTTCACTCCAATTTTCCCGGCGTATTTATACGGGACCCAATGCTCGTACGGCGCACTCGATACCCTCACTGGCCTCCTTATGGAGGAGGGCGTTAATTCCTCGGAACTTGCCAGCCACCTTGGCAACCTCGCGCACCATGAGCTCTTTCACCAAGCAGACGCAGCTCTTACGCATGCTCCTAGTGCTCCTCGCATGATTACAGAAGGTCGAGTACGCCGTCTACTGCGCTGCACCGCTGGAGGCGGAACAGGTATTGCTTGCGCGGGCCGTCACCAAGCGGGAGTCGGCGGACGATACGATCCAGTCGGCCTATTTGGAGGAGCGCGGAATACGACCTTGCGTAAGCGTAAGGCTCAGGGATTCGGGTGAACGCAGGAGAGATGCGAGATACGATGCGAAGCCATGGGAGGGTGAAGAGAGGCGACGAATCCAGAATAGACGCGGGGAAATCTCGGTCGCGGCAATGTGCATGACGTCATCGGTCAAAATGGGAGAGGCACGTGTCTGCAGCGAACTCGAACATCAGCGCCTGAGCAACGCTATCGTCCCGTACGTCCTATGCGTCGACATCCCGGCCCCCTCGTCGATCTTGCCATGCTTGCTTATGTGGGACTGCGATAGAAACTCAGTTCGATCTATGGACCAGTACGGCAGATGTTCGCTGACGTGGCACTCGGGCAGCCGTTTCTATCAACACCATCCGACACCCTGAGACGGATACTCAGACGAAGGAGCAAACGCTAATACGCTCCACACAGACGTTTCTTGCACGAATTGTGGAGAAAAGTGCGAACCCAATCCGCGCCCCTGTCTACACTAACCGTACCGCTGCAGTCTCTTAGGGCTGTCGGATGTGTCTGGCGCGGAAGACCCGCAGCGCCAAAGACGGCTCCGCTCGTGGGACATAGAGGGTCGTTGGCAAAACGTTTATAATAACCGCCGACTCGACCCGCTGAAATCATCATCCAGCAACGGTCAGCCCATCCGGCACACCTACCTTTCCCATTCTCACCTTCATTGCACGCATCCGCGTCTTCTCTTCGCCCGTGTAGACCTTCTCCCTGCCTTTCTACAATTCTTCTCACCAGCCTTCGCACCATCATCCGTCGTATACTCCAGATATGCCATCCAACGCAACGGACCGCATCCCTAGTCTGACGGGGAAGATCATCGGCGATGGTCACCGGCTCCTTGAGCTCATCGGTTCCGGAGCTGGTGGAGTCGTCTACAAAGCCATCCACCCCCAACCTCCCTCTCTTCCAAGCCGATCTTCCGCGCCGTCAAGGTGACGCAGAAGGCGGGTCTCAGCCAGCGCGAGCTGGTCGCCGTCAGCGACGTACACTACACACTCCCACAGCATCGCGCACCGCGACCTCAAGCCGCAGAACATCCTCGTCAGCTACGATGGCTCGTGCCTTTTTCTCTCCGACTTTGGTCTTGCCACCGACGCCACGAAGTCTACGGATAGGGCACCGGGACCTACATGATCCCTGGTACGTCTTCCCCGTGTCGATTCCGTTCTGTCTGCTAACGCGTATATTTCTGTTTCGCAGAGGCCACGGGGAGATTCAACGGGTGGGCCCCGTATCGCCCCCGGACGAGCGACGTCCGTGCGCCCGGCATCATTCTCATCAACACGCTTACCGGCCAGAACCCGTGGACGCGTGCGCGAAACGACGACCCGGACTTCAAGGCATACGTCTATGACCCGGAGTCCTTCATGGAGTCCCTCCCGATCTCTCGCTACATCGCCGGCCTTCTCCGCCACACGCTCGCCGTCGACCCGAGGTATCGCCTCTCGCTCGCGAACCTCCGCCGCGCGATCGCCGACGCGCCCACGCTCTTGAAACAGCGTGCTGCTCCCGCGAGCTCGTCCCGGAAGGAGGAGTTGGTGCCGGTCCCCGACCGACAAGCGCATCGTTCGACGCCGTCGCCCTCCATCAGCCTGGGTCACGTCTCCGACATCGGCCGCCATATCTCGCATCTCCGCGCGCGCGAGCGCCCGCGCCGCGGGTCATAGCCGCCGTGTCGTGGACCCCGCTCGCTGCGTAGCCTTCGATCGAGCCAACCTCGCCACGCCCAAGCCGCGCCAAAACGGCTGGACCCCCTCGACCGCCGCCGCCGCCTCGTCCTCGCCCTCGCTCCCGTCCGCATCCGCATACTCCTGCGGGTCGTGGCGGCTGGTTGAAAAGGTGCGACCCTCCTCTTATCGCCCTACTGAATGCCGTCAGTCACCTTGTCCCAGACCAATCCCACAAGTACATACCTGGAATACCGGCAGGGCTACCGTGCGCGGAAAAAGGCTCGATCTCCGAGACGGGGTGATGGTCAGATGGGCGTGGCCTTGTAACTTGAAAACGGCAACGGCGACGAGCTCGAGAAAGCATTATTCAGGTTAGGTCTTATCGTTTGCTGAGAGCGGAGAGGAGTGGCGAGCACGCGCCGGAGATGAACCTACAATGCTTCCAGCCTCTTCGTCGCGAGCAGAGCAACGCCTGCGTTCACTGGTGCGCACGCGCCGTAGACGATGGAGTGCTTCAGACGCCATTGCCTCGAAATAGTTTTGAAGAGGGTGCATCTGGCTCTGGGCGAACGTGGTGGAAATGTATATTTCGATACAGCGCGATACGTGTATTAATTCAGTGAACCTCGCCGTGTTCCGCTGTGCACGGCCGGCGGAGACGTCGCCGGTGAGCAGGTGTCCCTGAGAGAACGACGTCCATAGTCAGCTGAGGATCGAGGTGTGCCTCTTTTACGACTGTACCTGGTGGTTGAAGACAAAGTCCGCGATGTGGAGGTGAGCCTGGGTCGGCCACCGTTTGGCAGGTACGTACGAGGCGTACGTACATCTGAGGTCCGACTCGGCGCAGTCAACGGCGATTTGGGGGGCGAGTCGTGCATGGTGTCCGATGGCAGTCGAAGGAAGCCATGGAGGACTCGTCGTGGTCGAGGCAGAGCTGATGGCCGTCGGGTGATGGCACCGGGTCAGGGCCCTCCGGCCTGTTCAAGCGCCCGTTGCCACGGGTCGGTCGAGGCCTTTTTGGTGCTTCTTGCCCTCCTCTCACTCCCGTCCGCAGCTTCTGAACGCAAGTTGCACACCGGTGCGTTCCGTGTCGCAGATTACTTTATTCGTGGTCCAATTCACCAATGCGCATGAGCAGTCCTTGTACTTGCCCCAGCAGCCCACAGCGAACTTACCCTGCTCAACGGCATGCGACACATGAATGTTCCTCTGTCCTGTATGCCACGTCGGCTGAGATAGAAGCACGTTTCGCCGGCTGTCCGTCCGCGCGAATCCGCCGTGCGCAGACGGAGACGCGGGCAGCTCTATGCTGTCTTCATCATGTCCGACTGGGGTCAGTCGTCTTCACACGCCCAGTTCCCTTCGCGTCTAGCTCTCTCATATATTCGTCGTCCCCAGTGACAAAAACGCTCATCTATCTTCGTCCTCTCACCACGCAGGAGCCCGCCCCCCTCCCACTCACACTGACGACCTCCTCTCCTTCCTGTCGCGTTCATCATGCCCGAGCAAGGCCGCCGTACCAATCCCATCCAAGAGCTGGCGGAGAAGGAGATTTCCAACTTCGGGAACACCACGCACGCTATCAAGGAGTGCTTCAGCACTGTCACGAACGAGCTCTCAGGGCTCGACGCCTTCGGCTTCAAGGTGGATGGGCAGCCGGCGATGCTGAGTGAGCACTGGAAGGTGCTCTCCGACGTCCGTATATTTGTGTTGTATCTTTGTGCAGATGTGCTCACCAGGTTCCGCATTTTTATAGAGGTTCGAGGAGAGCCTGCGGCAAGGCCGGTACCTCACGGCCGAGGCGACGTTCGTTCTGCACAGTGCGTACTATGGTATCGCTAGGGCGGTCATCCCTGATTATGTCCATTATAGCGCACTCCAAGGCTATCTTGGACGAGGTCCATAAGGGCGAAAACGTGGAGGAGGTCAAAGCGGAGCTTCTCGAGCTAGAAAATGTACGATCTATGCTTCTCACCATCCTCGCATACTGATTGGATTATTTTAGCAAATGAAAACCAAGCAGGAAGAATCTAAAGACAGGAGACGCAGCTTCGAACACCTTTCGACGGATCTGCGCGAATTCGGCCATAGATTAGAGTCAGCGATGAGAATCACTGATTTTGATGCGCCGCAAGGGGTGACGAACCAAGTGGTGAAGCTTTGCAACATACTTTCAGAGTACGTCGGATTTTGTCTTTGTTATTGCGGCGTTCAAACTGACATCTATTTCCCCGCTTCGCACTCTTCAGTATAATCAAAGACCAGGTGTGCAGCGTTACCATGCGCGTATTTTCGAGGATCGTACGTATTTGACTCCCGCAGGTCCAATCGCTTGCGCGAAAGACCGAAACGGTGGCGGTTATTTGGGCACTGGTATGTCCACTCTCCATAATCTCTTGATGTGACTGCTAAGGGAGACGTGCGCTCGCCAGCTACGGTCCGACATGGTCGAGTTGAAGACACACCTTGCAATGGCCGTTCACCATCAAGGGAAGGCTGACGAGGTACAGGCCCTCCGAGATTTCGAATGTACTGTGTTGACCTCCCCACACCCGTGCAGGAATTCATCGAAGAAATGCAGTACACACGTGAAACATACCTCCACCTCGCCCACATGTTGGATCTGTCCGCGAAGGGACACTGATCCCTATGCATTTCACTGATCGACAAGTTTGACTCGTATGACTGTACAATGTACTGTGGTGATAAATTCGCTTGTTACATCGACGCGCCCCTAACGATGGTTGATCCCGATGCTGCCGACTTCGGATCGTGCTTGAATTCGTGAGGGTAATGAGTCGACCAAGGTGAGGGCGGAAGTCGATCTGGCGTAAGCGTGAATTTCGGGGAGACGAATGAGCGCAGGAGAGAGTCAAGATACGATGCCACGGGACGGCGAAGATGGGCGGACCGGAGGTCGACGGGCGCGGGCGCGAGCAACGTGCATGACGTCATCGTTCAGACCGGGAAACTCGAACATCGGCGCCTAAGTTGTGTCCCGTCCCTTCCGCATGCATCGACATCTCTCATCCCCTCGCAGAGTCAGAGACGTTCGCTAACGCGGCACTGGGACACAAATCCTTGTCAGAAGTCACCATTCGCCGCCCTGGGACGGGTACTCACACCAATCATGGAGAAAAGTGCGGACCCAACTCCAATCCGAGCCCCTGTCTTCGCTCACCGTACGGCTGCGATGTGGCTGCCGCTCGTGTCCGCTCGTGCCGAAGACCCGCAACGCCAACGACGTCTCGGCTTGTAGCCTGACATAGGAGTTCGTTGGCAAAACGTTTATAACAACCGCCGACTCGACCCGCCGAAATCATCATCCAACAACGGTCAGCCCATCCGGCACACCTACCTTTCCCGTTCTCACCTTCATTGCACACATCTTATCTTCGCCCGCACAGACCTTCTACCTGCCTGTCTACAATTCTTCCCGCCAGCCTTCGCACCATCATCCGTCGTATAGTCCAGACATGCCCTCCAACACGGCAGACTGCATCCCTGGTCTGACGGTGGGCAAGATCATCTGCGATGGCTACCAGTTCCTCCGGCTCATCGGTTCCAGCGCTGGTGGAGTCGTATACAAAGCCATCCACCTCGAAACAGCCCTCTCTTCCCAGCCGATCTTCCGCGCCGTCAAGGTGATCCAGAAGGTGGGTCTCGGCAAGCGCGAGCTGGTCGCCGTCAAACAGGAGACCAGTTCCACCTCATCTGCGCTGACCGGCCGGGCGTTGTCACCATCTATGACGTATACGACAATATGGGCTACCTGGTCCTCGTCCTCGACTCTGCGACGGCGGCGACCTTTTCAGGCACATCCGCGATCTCCAGGCATACGAGGACAACGAGGCTCTCGTTCGGACCGCGTTCCTCTCCCTGCTCGACGCCGTCAGCGACATACATTCCTGTCAAGCGGGAGAACATTCTCGTCAACTACGACGGCTCGCGCCTCTTTCTCTCCGACTTTGGTCTTGCCACCGATGCCGTGAAGATATTCATATACGGCTGGGGCACCGGGATCTACATGAGCCCTGGTACGTGTTCTTCATATCGAGTCCGTGCAGTGCGCTAACGCGTACATTTCTGTCTTCGCAGAGGCTTCGGGCAGGTTCAACGGGCCGGCTCCATATTGCCCCCGGACGAACGACATCTGGGCGTTCGGCATATCCTCATCAACATGCTCACCGGTCAGAACCCGTGGACGCGTGCGCGAAATGACGACCCGGCCGACTTCAAGACGTCGACAACCCAGTGTCCTTCGTGGAGTCCCTCCCGATCTATCGCGACCTTGCCGGCGTTCTCCTCCGCACGCTCGCCATCGATCCGAGCTGCCACACCTCGCTCGCGAACCTCCGCCGCGCGATCGCCGACGCGCACTGGACGCTCTTGAAACGCCGTGCTGCTCCCGAGAGCCCGTCCTGGGAGCAGGAGTTGGTGACGGTCCTCAACCAACGAGCGCATCGTCCAACGTCATCACCATCCGTCTGCCTGGACCGCGTCTCTGACGTCGACCTCCCCGCGCCCGCCGTCTCACATCTCCACGCGCGCTCGCGCTCGCGCCGCGCCCTCCGCGACGACCAGAGCCGCCGTGCCCGGGACCCCGCTCGCTGCGTAGCCTTCGACCTCGCCAATCTTGCCACGCCCAAGCTGCGCCAAAACGGCTGAGCCCCCTCCGCCGCCCCGGTCGCGCTCTGCCCGCCCATCACGCACGCCGCCGCCGCCTCGTCCTCGTCCTCGCTCTCATCCGCTTCCGCATACTCCTGCGAGTCCTTCACCTACGGCTCGAGCTCCGCCGCGTCCACGTCCACCGCCGCGACCTCGTGCGCGAGCGTGTCGTGCTGCCCCGACGACGCGGTAATCCCGCCCAAGAAGTCCATGGCGGTGGCCGCGGATGATGACGACGCTGAGTGGAAGCTGTACAAGTCCACGCGGGGCCGCGCGCCGACGCCCGCGCCCCTCGAGCTCGACGCTGAGCTCCGTCACAGCATTCTGAAGGCGGCGGCGGTCAAGCCTCGGGTTCAGGTGAAGGAGCAGCGGCAGTCGCGCTTCAAGGTGCGGGTACCGCAGATACTGCGCCGGTTCGTGCTGGTACCTGTACCTCACGCGGTAGAGCTTGCGAGGCTGGGTTGATGTGGTGCCAGTTCATATAGATAGGCGCAGTGACACAGGTTGTCGTCGTTCCGGGGACTATTTATTGCTTTTGATTATCGTGGAATACACGCACGTTATGAAAAGGGTCAGCAATTGCACTGAACGGTGAGTTTGGCTCACTTCAGGACACTTTGAAATGGTTCATCTCTTATATACGCAGTACGAAGTGGCTAGTTTGTTTCACGTGTGTAACCGTGCCAGTGCGCGGCCAACGCCCGAGGCTGAAAAAATCCGCGAAGTTTGAAAGCCCGTGAATACTCTCGCGGGGTTGCTACCCTAGGCCGTCGGCCCGTGCACAATGGGCATGGTCCTTGTGCACCTACGCCCAAGAGGCTAAACATTACGTAGCAGAGGTCCACGTGTTTTTGAGCACATAAAACGGGTACATGATACCCTGCTTTCCACTCGTGTCAGGGAGAGGCTCATGTTTCGCCTGGGGCGAGTACGCGCCGGAAGCGGACCTCCCAATCATATCCGCTCAGCGAAAGCGTCGCAGACGTAACACCTGCGTTCACAACTAAGCGACATGTGGTGACGATACTGGACACGCGGCGATCATGTGAACGCAGTGAATGATACAGTGGATATCACCAACGGTGTACATGTTTCGAGGAAGAAGTTGTAAACGATGGTGAGAGAAGCATGTACGGGGTGAGCCTTGATGGGGGATACAACGAGTGTGTGATGGATACAAAGTATCGTTAGTGAGAAGGTGAGAATAACCGAGTGAAGGGACAGTGCGGAATTGTAGGACGTAGCAATGTGATAGACTGTGGTGTTGAGAAGTAGAGATTGAGCGCACATGAGTGCGAAGCGGCCTACTACCGAAGGCTCAGTAAGTGTGCATGGGGAGATATAACGATACGAGACGTACTTCAAGATGGGGGAAAGTACCGGATTAGTTGGGGGTCTGCGCGTGGCTGTGATGAAGGTCTAGAACGTCCAAGAGCATCTGGATGAAGAAACGACTATGGACAGGGACGTAGGCACCCTCGGTCGTCTCTGACAAAACCTCCTTCTGGCCATCTTCGCGGATTACCACCATTTCTAAACCCCCTTCATCGTCGTACTCGCGACGCAGAAATATGGCCTGGAGACCTTCACCGTTATCGGAAATCCTGACCCCAACGAAAACAATGTTGATGTCGTCGGGGAACTCATCACCGTAGTCCAAGAGCTGAGGAATGGGGTTTCCGGTGCGCTTGTTCTCGACAAGCAGAAGAACTCGGATCCGACGGCCCCTACCATCAACCGCAGACACCAAGACATCCGGAACAAAGCAGGAAAGATGACCTGACGCGTACCTCTGCTTCGGACGGGCTGAAATGGTGTCTGCGGGAGCGGAATCCTCCGGCGGAACGACCTCCGCGCTTTCCGGATCGACAACCCGCTCTTCCAGCGACGGAGGATCTTCAATGGTCCCACCTCGTACGCCGCGCTTTGAGCGCTTTCCCGCGCGCCCATGCGGTTTGACAGCCTCCAGCCTGGCGATCGTAGCCTGGACCTGAACCCAGCACAGCTCTTCCGGAGTGAGGACGTACGAGTATAGGACCTGGGTGATGCTGTCGATCTTGCACTCGGGAGAGGCTTCGGTGATATGATCAACGAGGTACCAGATGAACGGCGGGACACGGTTCATCACTTCGTCGACACGGTCCTGAAGTGCGATGGAATGTCAGAGATACCACGATGTAAGACCTGGAGCGAGTATGTACCATGAGGCCCTCAGAGTCTGGGCGCGGCGGTGGGTCCGCGAGGAGGTACGAGACCAGGGTTTGAGTGTCGGTGAGCTTCGCGAGGCAGTCGTTGATCTCGTCGGCGAGACCGGCTCGGAGCTCCTTACTGTGATATAATAGTTTTCAGCATTGACACGACAGTCGCCGTAAAGCGACTCACCTGTTGTTCTGGATATGTGATAGAATCAGCTTTGGTTATTCAAGATGAGATGCAGAACACGCACGAAGACGTCGCAGGACTCTGCGAGAAGGCGCACCAGATCTTGCTTGACGTTTCCGTCTACGACGACAGTGGGTTCCTGTGCTGTCTCGTTAGGCTCTTGCGCAGCGGACGCCTGAAATGCAGTCAGAACAGCGCACAAATGGAACATCTGAAAACATTACTGGGGTAGGACGATGCTCTTCTTGTGTCGCCGGGCGGCCAGCGTCTGAAGCGGTACCATCGTCAGTAGGAACAGACAATGTTACACCGGACGGCGTGGCATCGGCGGGGACGGTTGCTGAGAGGAATTTCTTGGTTGAAGCCGTGCCATCTGAGCCGCTGCCGTGGCCTCCGTTGTGTACCCCTTCTTCCGCAAGAACAACGGAGGATGGGGCGAGTAAAGGAAGCTCCGAAACATTGTGGGCTGCCTTCAAGAGCCAGGCCCAAAGGTGAGAGCATGGCAGGATAAGTCAACGAAGCATGCTCACCAGGGAAGCTTTCATCATATCCAGACGATTCTTCACCGTCAGAAGAGAGTCGATAGTACCGCTCCTCTTCCGGGTCGCTGGCCTATAAATGCTCATCAACGTTGAGCGCACATAATACAAGCCATATAATAAACTTGCTACTCACTTTGAACAGACGAGCCAGAACCGGAAAGGGATGGTGTTCAGTCATGAGCAAGGTCGAAAAAGTATAAAACGTACCATAGAACCAATAACTCCAATAATTACAGAAATGATATCGTCACTGAGGGCACCGAGAGTGGACGGGGCAGCCAGTGGAGCCGGGAGGGTGGTTGGGTCGGAGACGGGAGGTGATGCCGGTGCCCTAGGAGCGGGAAGGGAGGGTGGTTCAGAAAAGGAAGGCAGTAATAATGCAGAATTACGCACGAGTTGAAAGGTCCAGCCTTCTTATTCTTCGCGCCGGGCGGCGTAGTCTGCTTCTTGCCCATGGGGTCGGTCTGCAGGGGGAGATGGTAAAGGAGGGCGGGTATGAGAGAGCGGCGTTGGAGTAACGGCGGGAGGTGTTATATACCTATTGGGACAATGCAAGTGCGAGGTCCCCATTGTTCGATTGTTGAGGAAGGTGGTTGGAACTTGGGGGTGAACCTGTCGTGCGCGAGGTTGTGGTCTTGGTGGAAGGCGGACCGGGCCGGTTCTCCAATCTCCGCCGTAAAGAAACACCTGCACGTGACGCGGCGAAATCGAACATCGGCGCTAAGCCACTGTTCTGCTCTTGCTTTCGTCATCCACCGCCACTCACATCTCCCTCCGCCTTGCCATCTCCGCCGTCTCGTCTTCTTGTTGCCACACAACATGTCCGTTCACGTCGGTGGATTCTGGTTCCCGTCTGAAACGATCCACCATCTGCTCACGACAGCATACTCCGTACCCAACGTCACTCCCCACGATGCCCTCGACACAGCTATCATCTACTTTGTCGACTACAAGTTCCTCCACTGCCCCAACCTCATCGAGCACCATATCAACGACAATTCTGGAACTCTCGCCAAGGGACACCTACTGGTGTGTCGCTTGGCGTTCGTCGACGACGGGCTCAAGGCTCCGGATCTCTCTCTCGATCAGAGTACGAGGGCCTGCGCCGACCACTGGTTCCCACCATCCGTACGCGAGCTGGAGATCTTCAAGGACGTTCGGTACATCCAGTGCGAGTATACTGGATATCGCAGTGTGTATCGCGATCGTTCTCTGGCATCATGCGCTGACACGTCGATGCAGCTGTCCCAGTCATCCGGTCGAAAGAAAAGGAATACGACATGACGCCCCAGCAAAAGCGCCGTCCAAACATGCCGAAATGGCTCCGTAGGCGTCACGAGTTTGGTCGCACTTTCATCTACCTGGTAAGCCATTGAAATCTGATGTGTCGCTTGTCTACTGAGTATAACAGCCCCCCGGCGTCCCCGCCTCGTATATCTACGCCGACGATGGCAACAACAGTGACAATACGTCCGAGTCGGATTCATCTGAGTCATTTGTAAGTATCTACCCTCCATATCCTTGGTGATACGACTGAGATCGTCTGCATCGCAGGAAGGAGTCCCTTCGCTTTGGGCAAATGTCCACCATCCGCGCCGTTGTGTCACCCGTGCATCGGACTAGCCAGATCCTGCGAGCTATTTGTCTGTCCCTCTTCATGTATCCTTATTAATAGTTATTCACCTCCTCTCCGCTTCTGGATGGCCGGGATCACACACACACACACACACTCTCTCTCTCAGATATGGGGCCGCGATCCACTACTTTCTGAACAATGATCGTTCCACTCTCCCTCGAACTCCCACACCCTCATGTCTCATCGCGCCCCCTCTGTCGCTTCCTATCCTCCCGCCCATGGTCGCGCGCTCCCACAGCGATTCCCTCGTCCCACCGTTTCCGGCAGAGCCCGCGATAGCGGCATTTGGCGTGCTCGATTCCGGAATGTTCGCCAACGACGCGTGCAAGACACGCTCGTGCCCCGCCCCGCCGTCATCGAAGGCGAGCAAGATCAGGATATCTCGTATCACATCCTCGTATTCCGGCAGCTTTGTCCCCACACACGGCGCGGGACGGCGCGGAAAGGCGCTGCGTCCGACTCAGGATACAGCGCGTCCGCAGACGCACCCTTCGAAGTCGCAGCTCGAGGTCCAGCCCCCACGCCTGCCATTATCCTCGTTAACCGCAACCTCCGAAACCCCCTCACCCACGCCCTCGATGCCGAGCTCCGCGTCCCCAACCACGGCTCCATCGCCCACCGCGAGCTCGGCTTTGGAGTCCCCCGTCTTCACCTTTCACGCCCCTCGACCCGCCTCAGTCTTCCGCCATGGTTTTTCTATCGATACCGTCCCCTCCCCCTCGCCGCGCTCCTTACCGCGCTGCACGCGCACCTGCAAGTAGTAGCCGTATATACTGGCAAGTGCACGTCTTCGTGCGCTCTACGAGGTAGCGGTACGCAGGGAAGCGCCGTCATTGCCGTGTGCGCCGATCGCGAGTACGTCTCGGTGGAGTGGAGCATTAGCGACCTGGGTACTCGCGCACCTTGCACTAGCCCGCGCAGATGCACGCGCCGCAGACCCGACAGGTGTACGTGGGGTCCGATCGGCTCATCTCGTCCGTGCTTTCGTCCCTTGGGCAAGAGTAGGTGGCAGAGGAAAGCGATAGCAAGCTGGGCTGCTACTTCAATCTCCGTCGAAAATAAAATGGCCACACGTGACACGACAAATCGAACATTGGCGCTAAGCGGCTGTTCGCCACTCAGAATCAGATCTCCAGGCCTGCGCCCGCGTCTCCGCCGCCTCGTCTTCTCGTTGCCACACAACATGTCCGTTCACGTCGGTGGATTCTGGTTTCCATCTGAAACGATCCAGCATCTACTCACGACAGCATACGCTGTACCCAACGTCACTCCCCACGACGCTCTCGATACCGCTATCATCTACTTCATCAACTATAAGTATCTTAACTGCCCCAACCTCATTGAGCATTACATCCGGGACGAATCCGGAAAAGTCGTCAAGGGATACGTGCTTGCATGTCGCTTGGCGTTGTACCTCTTTCTCGATCAGAGTACGAGAGCCTGCGCCGACCACTGGTTCCCGCCAGAACTGGATGTCTTCAAGGATGTTAGGGACAGAATAAACGCGGGGAAATCTCGGTCGCGGCAACGTGCATGACGTCATCGGTCGAAATAGGAGAGGCACGTGTCTGCAGCGAACTCGGACATCAGCGCCTGATCAACGCTATCGTCCCGTACGTCCTATGCGTCGACATCCCCGGCCCCCTCGTCGATCTTGTCATGCTTGCTTATGTGGGACTGCGACAGAAACTCAGTTCGATCTATGGACCAGTATGGCAGATGTTCGCTGACGTGGCACTCGGGCAGCCGTTTCTATCAACACCATCCGACACCCTGAGACGGATACGAGATCCAGACCGGTGCGCTGCGCCATTCTCGTCCCGCTCATCTCCTCGCTCATCGCCCAAGTGCTCGCGCTTTTCGCACCACAGATATGGACGCGCATGGTCACCCTCAACCTCGACAAGGTTGTGACGTCCCCCCCGAGTCCCGACATTGCCTGGGCTTCACTGCGTTGCAACGCATTCTGGAGACGGAGTTCGAGTGCCCTGTGGCCTTCGGTGAAGATCTCCTATGCTGGCACGGACGGCACCGTCGTCTTCGGCTACGACAGCTCCATGGGGCCCGCATTCCATACCCTGGTCAGCGGACTCGGGCACGAACTCATCGACATCCCCTGGACGGGTGACCGCAAGGCGCCGCACGCGTGGATAGGGAACCGGACCCTGCCACATGTCGAGCTCATGTGCCGGGTCCGTGTCGCATACGCTTCGCCGGCTGACGCCGCGAAGTTGCTCGCGGTTGCGCGCGCGCACAAGACATGCGCCCCTTCCGTTCTCACCTTCATTGCACGCATCTTCTCTTCGCCCACATAGACCTTCTACCTGCTTGTCTACAATTCTTCCCGCCAGCCTTCGCACCATCCTCCGTTGTATACTCCAGACATGCCCTCCAACACGGCAGACTGCATCCCTGGTCTGACGGTGGGCAAGATCATCTGCGATGACTACCAGCTCCTCCAGCTCATCGGTTCCAGCGCTGGTGGAGTCGTCTACAAAGCCATCCACCTCCCAACCGCCCTCGCCTCCCAGCCGATCTTCCACGCCGTCAAGGTGATCCAGAAGGTGGGTCTCGGCAAGCGCGAGCTGGTCGCCGTCAAACAGGAGACCAGTTCCACCTCATCTGCGCTGACCGGCCGGGCGTTGTCACCATCTATGACGTATACGACAATATGGGCTACCTTCTCCTCGTCCTCGATCTCTGCGACGGCAGCGACCTTTTCAGGCGCATCCGCGATTTCCAGGCATACGAGGACAACGAGGCTCTCGTTCGGACCACGTTCCTCTCCCTGCTCGACGCCGTCAGCGACATACATTCCTGCGGCATCGTGCACCGTGACCTCAAGCGGAAGAACATCCTCGTCAACTACGACGGTTCGCGCCTCTTTCTGTCCGACTTTGGTCTTGCCACCGATGCCGTGAAGATATTCATATACGGCTGGGGCACCGGGATCTACATGAGCCCTGGTACGTGTTCTTCATATTGAGTCCGTGCAGTACGCTAACGCGTACATTTTCCTCTTCACAGAGGCTTCGGGCAGGTTCAACGGGCAGGCCTCATATTGCCCCCAGACGAACGACATCTGGCCGCTCGGCATCATCCTCATCAACATGCCCACTGGTCAGGTCCCATGGACGCGTGCGCGAAATGACGACCCGGACTTCAAGACGTCGACAACCCAGTGTCCTTTTTGGAGCCCCTTCCTATCTCTCGCGACCTCGCTGGCGTTCTCCGCCGCACGCTCGCCATCGATCCGAGCTGCCGCATCTCGCTCGCGAACCTCCGCCGCGGGATCGCCAACGCGCACTGGACGCTCTTGAAACGCCGTGCTGCTCCCGAGAGCCCGTCCCGGGAGAAAGAGCAGGAGTTGGTGACGGTCCTCAACCAACGAGCGCATCGTCCAACGTCATCGCCATCTGTCTGCCTGGACCGCGTCTCTGACGTCGACCTCCCCGCGCCCGCCTTTTCACATCTCCGCGCGCGCTCGCGCGTGCGCCGCGCCCTCCGCGACGACCAGAGCCGCCGTGCTCGGGTCCCCGCTCGCTGCGTAGCCTTCGACCTCGCCAATCTCGCCACGCCCAAGCTGCGCCAAAACGGCTGGGCCCCCTCCGCCGCCCCGGTCGCGCTCTGCCCGCCCGTCACGCACGCCGCCGCCGCCTCGTCCTCGCCCTCGCCCTCATCCGCTTCCGCATACTCCTGCGACTCTTTCGCCTACGGCTCGAGCTCCGCCGCGCCCGCGTCCACCGCCGCGACCTCGTGCGCGAGCGTGTCGTACTGCCCCGACGACGCGGTAATCCCGCCCAAGAAGTCCATGGCGGTGGCCGCGGATGATGACGACGCCGCGTGGGAGCCGTACAAGTCCACGCGGGGCCGCGCGCCGACGCCCGCGCCCCTCGAGCTCGTCGCTGAGCTCTGTTAGGGCATCCTGAAGGCGGCGGCGGTCAAGCCTCGGGTGCAGGTGAAGGAGCAGCGACAGTCGCACTTCAAGGTGCGGGTACCGCATATTCTGCGCCGGTTCGTGCTGAGGCCGGAGGCGGTCAACCTTGTGAAGTTTGGTTGATATGGTGCTAGTAGTTTTATATAGATACGGCACGGCGTGGACGGCAAGGTGACGCAGGTTGTCATCGTTCCGAAGACTATTTATTGGTTTTGATTCTCGTTTCCCTGGCTGCCGGAATACACACATATTTTGACAAGGGTTGGCAACTTATGTGCGATGTTCGAAGACAGTTTCATGTGTGTAAACATGATGCGGACAACGCCCGAGGGCGGCCGCTGCGCAGCTGACTTACAAATCTACGAACTTCGAAAGTCCGTGACTACTCTCTCGCTGTCGCACTGCCTCCCATACCGTCAAATCGCAACATACTACTTCGCAGCACGCGGGACTAGCATAATAGCGCTCTGCCGTGGATGCGCTCACACTGCGGGCAGGTGCCCTATTTCCCACGACGCGATAGTCATGTTGTAGCGTTGGTATAGGTTTCCTTTGTCTTCAATGGACACATGACTATTGCACGACGCGACAGTTAGACTTTTGTCTGCCTTGCGCATCGCTGCCCCACCACCGGATAGTCTGCCTTGCACATGACTATACCCTGACTATACCATGACTGTCGCCCCACGTGACAGGTAGGCTGTCACGTCGCGCGCGAGGTAGACTGCCACTTTACTATACTTAGACTATCGTCCCGCGCGCGAGGTTGTCTGCCGCTTCGTCATACCCCTACTATTGCCCCGCACGCGAGGTAGACTTCCGCTTCGCTATATGTCGACTATCCCTGCACGCGGAGCGGCCATCCTCAGGCCCACTGGCGCTTACGATCGACTGCAGGCCACCGTCTGCGCGCGGTTGAATTTCATTCACTCCTCCCCTTAACACGCTTCCTCGTCCTCCTTCTCCCGCACATGGTCGCACTATCACAGCGATTCCCCCATCCTGCCGCTCCCGGCGGAGCCCGCGATAGCAGTGTTTGGTGTTCACCAACGACGCGCGCAATGCGCACTCGCGTACCGCTCCGCAGTCATCGAAGGTGAGCACGTCCAGGACGTCCCGTGCCACATGCTCGTCATCAGACGGCTTTGACCCCACACCTGGCGCGGGACAGCGGCGAAGGCGGAGCGTCCCACTCAGGAAACTGTGTTGCATGCAGTGAATTACGACCTCCCTTGAGGATAGCCGTTCCGCGTGCAGGGATAGTCGACATATAGCGAAGCGGAAGTCTACCTCGCGTGCGGGGCAATAGTAGGGGTATGACGAAGCGGCAGACAACCTCGCGCGCGGGACGATAGTCTAAGTATAGTAAAGTGGCAGTCTACCTCGCGCGCGACGTGACAGCCTACCTGTCACGTGGGGCGACAGTCATGGTATAGTCAGGGTATAGTCATGTGCAAGGCAGACTATCCGGTGGTGGGGCAGCGATGCGCAAGGCAGACAAAAGTCTAACTGTCGCGTCGTGCAATAGTCATGTGTCCATTGAAGACAAAGGAAACCTATACCAACGCTACAACATGACTATCGCGTCGTGGGAAATAGGGCACCTGCCCTCAGTGTCAGGGTATTCACAGTGGCTGCCCTAGTACTATCCGCGCCTACTCGTACATAGTGGGAATAGTAGCACTCAACACCCGAGACGCTGAGCACTGCGTAACAGAGCTCCCCGTGTTCTTGGGCACGTAATGTACACGAGTACATGATGCTCTGTCTGTCCACTCGTGCCGCGGAGAGGCTCGTGTTCCGCCCGAAGCGCCGACCTGCCCCACAGTCATATCTAAGTGAGACTCGACGCTGACACTGGAAAAGTGGCTATCATGTGAACGCAGTAGTTGATACAGTGGATATTAGTGTACATGCTTCGCGAGAGAAGTCGTAAACGAGTGTGAGAGAAGCATGGCTGGAGAAACGTGAGACAAGCGTGAATGGGAGATACAACGAGTGTGTGATGGATACAAAGTATCGTTAGTGAGAACGTGAGAATAACAGAGATGTAAAGGGAGTGTGTGAGATTGTGGGACGTAGCAATGTGATAGTAGATCGTGGTTTTGAAACGTGGAGATTGAGCGCTGAGTGCAGACCGGCCTGCAATCCGAAGCTCAGTAAGTAGGCGTGGAGATATGGAACGGTGCGAGACGCACTTTAAAAGCGATGGAAGTATTGGTTCAGTTGTGGGTCTGCATATGACCGCGGTGACGATCGAGAACGTTCAAGAGCGTCTGAACGAAGAAACGGCTGTGGACACGGACGTAGGCATCCTTGACCATCTCAGGAAAATCCCCCGTCTTGCCATCTTCGCGGATTACAACCATTTCCAAATCTCCATGGTTGTTGCGCTCGCAACGCAGAAATATGGCCTGGAGGCCTTCACCTTCGTCCCTGATCTTGACGCCAATGAATACAGTGTCGGGCTCGCCGGGCAACTCTTTGGCGTAGTCCATGATCTGGGGGAGGGGGTTGTCGATACGCTTGTTCTCAACAATCAGAAGAACACTGATTCGGCGGCCTCTGCCATCAACCGCGGACACCAAGACATCTGGAACAAAGCAAGAAACGTGACCAGACGCATACTTATGCTTCGGACGGGCTGAAATGGTGTCTTCGGAAGTGGAGGCCGCTGGCGGAACGACCTCCGCGCCTTCCGGATCGACAACCCGCTCTTCCAGCGACGGAGGATCTTCAGTGGTGCCACCTGTTACGCCCCGTTTCGAGCGCTTTCCACGCCCACACCGTTTGACCACCTCGAGCCTGGAGATCGTAGCCTGAACCTGAACCCAGCACAGGTCCTCCGGAGTGAGAACGTACGAGTATAGGATCTGGGTAATGCCGTCGATCTTGCACTCGGGAGAGGCTGCGGTGATGTGGTCGACGAGATACCAGACGAACGGCGGCACACGATTCATCACTTCGTCAACGCGGTCCTAAAAGCGCGGTGAAATGTAAGCGACGTCACAACGTACAACCTGGGGCGAATATTTACCATGGGGTCCAGAGAGTCTGAGTGCGGCGGTGGATCAGCGAGGAGATACGAAACCAGGGTTTGAGTGTCGGTGAGCTTCGCGAGGCAGTCGTTGATCTCATCAGCCAGACCGGCTCGGATCCCCTTACTGTGACATAAGAGTGTTCAGCATTGACACGGCAGTAGCTCTAGAGCGACTCACCTGTTGTTCTAGATATGTGACCGAATTAGCTTTGAGTATTCAAGACGAGATGTAGAACACGCACGAAGACGTCGCAGGACTCTGCGAGAAGGCGCATCAGATCTTGCTTGACGTTTCCGTCTACGACGACAGCGGGTTCCTGTGCTGTCTCGTTAGGCTCTTGCGCAGCGGAGGCCTGAAGTGCAATCAGAACAGGGCACGGATGGAATATCTAAAACATTACCGGGGTAGGATGATGTTCTTCCTGTGACGCGGAGAGGTCGGGGTCTAAGGAATGTTCGGAAGAATGCGTCGCGGTCCCATCGGCAGCAGGAATAATCGATCGGGCATCGGATGACGTGGTATCGGCGGGGACGGTCGCCGGCAGGATTTCCGTGGTTGACGCCCCCCCGTCCGAAGCGCTTCCGCAGTCTCCGTTGTGCACCCCTTCGTCCGTATGAACCACGGAAGATGTAGAGACAGGTGGAAGCTCTGCAGTGTTGTAGAACGCCTTCGACCGCCAGGAAAGGTGAGAGCGTGGAAGGATAAGCCAACACAGCGTACTCACAAGTGAAGCTTTCATTATACCCAGACGATACTTCATGGCCAAGAGAGAATCGATCGTTCCGCTCTTCTTCCGGGTCGCTGGCCTATAAGGATTCATCGGCGTCGAGCGCACATAATACAATTCATATGAGCTACTCACTTTGAACGGATGGGCCAGGTACGGACATCGATGATGTTCAGTCATGCACATGAATGATAAAGTATAATAAATACCATAGAGTCTATGATTTCCATAATGACAGAAATCAAATCGTCGTTGAGAGCACCGAGAGTGGACAGGACAGCCGGCGGAGTCGGGAGGGTGGTCAGGGAGACGGGAGGTGATGCGGGTGGCCTAGGGGCAGGAAGAGGGAGTGGGTGAGTCAAGAAGAGCAAGTAAAACCAGAGCCACACACAGATTGTAAGGTCCAGAATTCTTAGTCTTCTTCGCGCCGGGCGGCATAGTCTGCTTCTTGCCCATGGGGTCGGTCTGCAGGGGGAGATGGTAAAGGAGGGCAGGTATGAGAGAGCGGCGTTGGAGGGACGGCGGGTGCGATTATATACTCACTGGGACAATCCAAGTGCGAGGTCGCCATTGTTCGATTGTTGAGGAAGGTGGTTGGGGGTGAGCCTGCCGTGCGCGAGGTTGTGGTCTTGCCAGTGGAAGGCGGGCCGGGCCGGTGCTTCAATCTCCGCTGTAAAGAAACACCTGCACGTGATGCTCCGAAATCGAACATTGGCGCTAAGCGACTGTTCTGCTCCTGCTTTCATCATCCACCGCCACTCAGATCTCCTTGCGCCCTGCCATCTCCGCCGCCCATCTCCCCTTCACCGCACAACATGTCCGTTCATGTCGGTGGATTCTGGTTCCCCTCTGAGGCCGTCCATCATCTGCTCACGAAAGCATACGGCATTCGCGACGTCACTCCCCAAGACGCCCCCTTCACCGCAACGCTTTACTTCGTCGACTACGACTACCTCAATTGCCCCAGCCTCATTGAACATCCCGTCCGCGACAAATCTGGAAAACTCGCCCAGGGATACGTGCTTGTGTGTCGTTTGGCGTTCGTCGACGACGGGCTTGAAGTACCGGATCTCTCCCTTGATCAAAGTGCGACAGCATGCGCCGACCACTGGTTCCCACCGTGGTTGCGCGACCTTGAAGTCTTCAAAGACGTTCGGTACCTTCAGTACGAGTATACCGAATACTTCAGTGCGTATCATGCTCAACCGGTGCCACTACCCATATTGACGTTGTTATAGCTATTCCGATCATCTATTCGAAAGAGCAGGAGTACGACTGGACACCGCAACGAAAGCGTCGTCCAGGAATGCCCGATTGGCTGCGGAAGCGTCACGAGTGGGGTCGCACTTTTGCCTATGTGGTAAGCCATTGACTTCATATGTGCCGCCTGTTTGCTAAGTATACTAGCCCCCCGGTGTGCCCGCCTTGTATGTCTACGACGATGACAACAGCACCAATACGTCTGACTCAGATCCAACCCAACCATCCGTAAGCAATCATAACCATCCTACGGCATTCGGCGGAACTGATGTTGTTCGCATCTCAGCGAGTAACTCCCTCACCTTGGTCGCGCGTCCAGCATCCGCGTCGCCGTGTCCCCGGTGCCTCATACTAGTCAAATCTGCGTTGTTGCTGGTGGTGCCTTTCATGTATCTTTATTGATAGTTATTCACCTCTTTCTTTGCGCTTCTGGATGGCCGGGATGTCGCGCGCTCTCCCAATCACCCGCACCGCCGCCGTCGCTCGTTCCAAGAGCCGTCTGTTGCCCGACTTGTGTGGCAGTCATCAAGTAGTGGTGGATCGTCTGCATCGTAGGAAGGAGCCCCTTCGCTTTGGGCAAACGTACGCCATCCCCGTCGTTGTGTCGCCCGCGCATCAGACTAGTGAAATCTAGGTCCTCGTCATTCTTCCCCTTTATTCATAGTTGTTAATCTATCTCTTTCTGCTTCTAGAAGGGCGGGATCTCCCAGCCACCCCCGCCGATGTGGCCCTTACGGACACCTTTCATGAGGCGAATTGGAACAGTCCGCAACGCCGCGCTTCTCATTCATTGCGTTCACCCTTGCTGCGCAGGCGGTGCAGTTGCACAAATGAGAGAGACCGCGATAGCGGTGTTTGGCGCGCTCGATCCCGCAATGTTCGTCAACGCGCGTCGGTCCCCGCCAGAAGGCCGCCGCGCCCATCTCCGACAGACGACTCATCAACACCCCCTTCCGCATCACGTTCCGGCCCCTGATCCTTTTACTGCGCCTCTTCATCTTCACGAAGAAGGTCGTCGCATACACCTGCGCGAACTGCGGCGCGCGCACCTGCGCACGCCGCAAACTGTGCGAGCACCCGGCGGACCGCACATGCCCCGCGGTGGACACCGAGAGGGTGCTCGCGATCGGGCGTGCGCGGGGCTGGAAGCGCTGCCCCGCGTGCGGCCACCTCATCGAGCTGATGGCGGGATGCTCCCGCGTCCGGTGCCCGTGCTGACAGAATTTCTGCTACCGGTGCGGGGCGCCGTGGGGGACGTGTCGCTGCCTGCCGTACTGGAATGTGGGGCAGCCCCGGTTCTAGCACGCCAGCTGTACACCGATCTGGGTTTACGGCTCATGGCCTACAACGAACTTGCAATTTCTTACTACACATGGTATTCACGTACGAGAATTTGTAGCGAATATTCGATTGATTAAATCAAAGTAGTAGCCGTATATACTGGCAAGTGCACGTCTTCATGCGCTCTACGAGGTGGCGGTACCGTGTACGCAGGGAAGCGCTGTCATTGCCGTGTGCGCCGATCGCGAGTACGGTGGAGGAGGAGGAGGAGGAGGATTAGTGACCTGGGTACTCGCGCACCTTGCACTAGCCCGCGCAGGTGTACGCGGGGTCCTATCGGCTCGTCTCGTCCGTGCTTTCGTCCCTTGGGCAAGAGTAGGTGGCAGAGGAAAGCCGGGCTGGTACTTCAATCTCCGTCGAAAATGAAACAGCCACACGTGACACGGCGAATCGAACATCGGCGCTAGGTGACTGTTCTGCTCTTGCTTTCGTCATACTCACAAGTGACTCTCCCTGTGCCCTGCCGTTTCCCCCGCCTCGTTTCCCCTTCGCCGCACAGCATGTCCGTTCACATCGGCGGATTCTGGTTTCCCTATGAGGCCTTCGATGATCTATTTATGAAAGCGTACGACATTCCTGACATCACCGCTCCCATTTACTTCGACGACTGCGACTATCTCGATTTCCCCACTCTCATTGGACATGACGTCCGGGACAAATCTGGCGAACTCGCATCGGGATGGGTCCTTGCGTGTCGCTTGGCGTTTGTTGACCCCGGGCTTGAGGTTCCGGACCTCTCCATCGATCAAAGCACGAGGGCCTGTGCCGACCACTGGTTCCCGCCGTGGCTACGCGGCCTCGAAGACTTCAAAAAGGTTCGGTATATACAGTACGAGCATAACGGATACATCCGTACGTATCGCAGTTCTGTGGACCACCGCATACTGATGTCGACACAGCTATTCCTTTCATTGAGTCGAAAGAGAGGGAGTGTGGCATGCCCCAGCAGAAGTGCTGCCCAGATATGCCGAAACGGCTGCAGAAGCGTCACGAGTGGGGTCGTACTTTCACCTACGTGGTAAGTCATTGAATCCATATGCGCCACCTGTTTGCTAAGTATAACAGCCTCCCAGTGTGCACGCTTTGTATGTCTATGACGACGACGACGACGACGACGACGACGACGACAGCGCCAATACCTCAGACTCGGACTTCGCTCAACCATCCGTAAGCACTCCCAACCATCCTATGTTTTGCGATGAAACTGATTTGTTCACATCACAGGGAGGAACCCCTTCACCTTGGGCAAGCGTCCAACATCCGCGTCGCGGTGTCGGCCGTACATCCAACTAGCCACATAATGCGTTTCCGTTTTCTGTCGCTCTCCATGTATCATTATCAATAGTTATTCACCCCTTTCTATGCGCCTATTGACCACCAGGATCTCTCGCGCTTTCACCCACCACCCATCCGATCTCGTTACTTGCACCTTGAAGAGCGGTCTGTTGGCCGGTACCGCACCGCTGACTCGGATGGCATCTAATGAACGCCTACTTAGCTGCACCACGCCACACCTCTCCGTTCCCATATTCGCCGTTGCCGTGCGGGCCGTGCAGCACAAGGAGCCTCACGATTTCCCGCACGTGTCCGCGTTGGACTTATATATAGCAGAGCGTCGAGAAAATTATCGTGGAGTTGATGGATGTACAAGAAGAAGCTCGCTCGGCCGCACTGCCGCTCACAATGCCGACGACGACATCTCGCATCTAGTTTGCCTCAATTTCCAGTATGCAACTGTGTCTTCCCCTTCCTCTGCCGGTTAACTAATGTCGTTCGCATCGCGGCAGGCCACTCTGCGGAACGCTTCGCGCTTATAATGATGCTTTTACAAGACATCCGAACCGTCCGTGGCTCTCGCAGTCGGTCAAGCCATATGGACATACATTTAGTTGCCTCCACTCGTATGCGTCACAAGTTCTACGCTGGGCTCGAGTAGCCCAGCCAATGGATGACGTAGTAGACCCAACGATAAGATAGCGATCGGAGATTGACTGTTGAGAACAAGCGCCCAATATCCGACTCTTTCGTCGTCCACCACCGTCAGCAACTCCGTCCCCCCGCCAGTCAACGACCATGACCTCCGAAGCTGCGCCAGAGAGCACGCTTCCGTACCCGCCCCTCCACACGGACAAGAAATTCGTCGTCCTCTCCGACTGGTTGGTCCGTCTCGCTGTCCATGTCCACGTCTGCTCCTCCGTTCTATGTGCCATCTCAATCTCCACCATCGGCTCATGTCAAGCATCGCGCACTGCCTCTCGCAGAAAGTTCCGGGCGTGCGGACGTATGCTGACTTGGGTGTTTCAGGGATGGCACGATCACCACTCGCGATTCGAACGACTGTGAGTACCTTTCCCACTCGTCATCGGATGCGGGCAGCGGGGCAGGTGCTGGAGAACGAGGATGCGGCTAGGCGAAGGAGACGTTCTTCATCTGGTGTGTGACGGAGAAGGTGCTGCACGAGGTCTCAGGAACGTGGTGACTCGTGCTCCGGCACGCGCGAGTCGCCTTGATCTCATTGCTCACGCCGCTTGCAATCCATGTGCTGCATTTAGTGTTGATGCCTTCGGGGCCGCTTACCATGCGCCGCAGACATGACCGATGAGCTCGGATATGGCCCCCAGAAGCGCAGACAGGGAAACCTTGATATCCTTGCGGGAAAGGTCACGTTCAGGTGCGTCTCGCGTCGTCCTCCGCAATTGTCGGGAGACTTAGCTTCCGTTGCGGTATGAAGGGATGCTTTCCGTGAAATGCTGGAGAGCATATCCGGGAACGGCCACAACTTCGAGTTCTGCAAGGAGGAGCTCAAGAAGAGTCAGTATCGTTTGTGTGCGAGTCGTCGACCAGATGTCCTTACCTTCGCCGCAGACATAACCCTAGACGGTGGATTCAAGGATTTCCACAAGTACTGCAAGGAACAAGACATCCCTGTGGTCATCATCTCCAGGTGTGTGTACTAAAGCATCCCGGGAACGAGGGTGTTGACGCCCGGTCAGTGGCATGGAGCCTTCCATCCGTGCGGTCCTCTCCAAGCTCATCGGCGATGACGCGAAGGAGATTGACATCGTTTCTAACAACGTCGACATCCACCCCGACGGCACCTGGTCTATCAAGTATCGGCACCCAACCAGGTGCGCTTCTCTCCCTTCCTGTCTCGCGTGCGCGACCGCGTGCTTATGCGCGTGGTTCACTCCTGCTCCAGCGGGTTCGGGCACGACAAGAGCCAGGCGATCCTGCCGTACCGTCGGCTGCCCAACCCACCGCTCATCTTTTTCTTCGGCGATGGCGTCTCTGGTAAGCAATTTGTCCTCTCATCTCCGTTTTTCCCCTCTGTCCCCGAGCTCGCCGTGGTCCCAAACCCTTCGCGTTGTCGCCGTCGTCTTCCGTTCCCGGCGGCGGACGAGGCCAGGGCGCTGCGCCCCCAATCTCCGCAGCGCGCTGCTCTTCGCCTCACCTTCCCCGTGATGAACGCCGGGACGCTGACACGCCTCGTTTCCCCTCGCGCGCCCCGACGCCGCCTCAGACATGTCGGCCGCGCGCCACGCCGACGTGCTGTTCGTGAAGTGCAAGGACGGCGGAGACAACGACCTAGCCGCGTACTGCCGCCGCGAGGGCATCCCCCATATCCTTTTCGCGGACTTTAGCCACGCGCGCGTGGTGGTCGCTGACATCGTCGAGGGGCGCACGACGGCGGCCGAGGCGCTCGCGAAGGGCAAGGCGTGAGCGCGGTGTGCGCGCGGCGAAAGATAGGGAGCCACGGCCGGGGCCGAGCGACTCGCGAGGGAGGCGCGGCTGGCGCGGGGGCTGGAAGCTGCGCGTCAGCCGCGATGGATAGGGAAGATTGCAACGTGTGTACGCATAGATGAAGAACACGCACATCTGTATCCCTGGATCCTGGAACGCGGGCGTGCTGGGGGCGAGACCGGCTGCCGCGGCACTAGGTTGGATGCGCACTGTGCCCTCAGGAGATGTGATATGATGCGCAGCGCACGAAGAGAGCAGGGTGGCGCCAAGATGCGGGCAGGGCGCGGGGGTTGCGGTCTGCGGCAGCTTGCTCGGGTCCTGGTCGTCGAAAACTCACCAGGCACGCAGAGCAGCGCTCGCTCCAAATAGCCCTCTTCCCCGTCTCCTGTACACACCCACGCCGAGGAGGGACCCCGTCGGGTGGTTGGTTGGCCGCGGCTCGGCGGATGGCTCCAATTTGTGTGTCACACAGCGAGCTTGCGAACCAACCGCGGCAGACACACTTCCGTCGCGCTTCCGTCGCGCACGTCGTTGGACGGTGGACTCAGACGCGAAACCTGCGGCTCGGGCGCGAACTTTGAGCTTGTGGCGCGCTCGGCGGCGGACGCTGGGCGCGGGTTGTGCGGGCGGCGATGTCAGGGCTCGAGCCTTGTGGATCCTTCGGCGCGTGCATATATACCGCAAGAGGGCTTGCTCGTGTCCGTCGGCGGCGGCGAGTCGCGACGGACCAGTCTGCAGCGCGATCGACTGCGGAAGTTCTCTTGGGCCAGAGCCACATCGAGATTCGAAAGAGGGCAAGCCTCGAGCGGGAGGCAAGCGGGAGACGCTTTATCTGGAAAGGTCGCGCGCCGCTGAGTCGCGGTCTCTGATGCAGATGGTCATGGGCCGTTGCTCGAGGTCGAGATGGATGTGATCCGTTGCGGAGCAGGAGGACGAGCGGCGCGAGGTTGTGTGCTTGGTTTGGGGAACGGTTTGTCGTGCTTTTCCCCCGGGAGACGTGGATGGAAGGTGTTGTAGTACATCTGCGCTTAGTACGTATAGCGCCCAATGTTCAAACGTTCATTAAGGAATTGCTTCTTACACTTCTCCTGTCAGGCTGTCACGCATGGTTGCCATCGCGCCTGGTGGCGGAGGGATCTCGCCCTCCTCATCATCATCCCGCTCATTTTCGTCTGGCAGTTCGCCGCACGGGCTCTTCGAGAGCAGCCGCCCGTTGTATTCGATGATGTGGAAGATGGACACAAGGCGAATGCCGCGAACGCACCGGGGCGTTCCCGGCCATCGCCGGTTCGAGTTCGCACACATTCAATACAGATGTGATGTCGTTGATGACGAAGTATAGAGTCCAGGGTGTCCTTCGGCAAACGAGTGAACTGGGTGGGGGATCACAGCCGGGATGCCAGATGGGGCCTGGGCTCATAACCGTGAATGCACATCGCGGGTGCAGTCTCTCGTAGCAGCCTAGGAACGCTCGAAGATCTGACAAACTGCATGATGGTAAGTATGTTCTTGCAAGTACTTGGGCTGGCCGCGGCTTGAGCTCGAGTGTCGATACGCCTGACCTGGTTGACAGCAGAACGGACTGTGGTCGAGGGATTTGTGCCCGATTCTGAAGGTTCGAGTCCGCGGGAACGGTGCCTGGGCGGCTCGGTCGTCATGCCGGCGTCGAACTGGAGGTGATGAGGATGCGACGCTTGCACGGAGAGCTTGTGTCCCGCGTCTCCCGAGGCAGCTCGAAGACAGCGAAGACCCGGCCCCGCCAATGGCGCGGTGCCACCCACGGCCTCGCGTCTTCCGGGCAACATCTGCGCGGTGTGAGAGGGGCGCCGCGCGCAGAACGAACCTGCTGTGGTCTGCGGCCTGCGCCCGGGCTCTTCGTTGTGATCTCAGACAAGAGCGAGTGACGACATGTGCTCGATCATGATGTGGAGATCGAGTTGCGTCTCTCGGCGCCTGTTCGCCGGCCGAAGGCGATCTATGCGCGCGCTCCTCTCCGCCCACGACGAGGACCGGGATATAAAGTTGGGGGAGCAGGTGCGCTCCTCCCAACCTTCCTCCCCCAGCCGCGTCCCCGTTTGTTCTCGTGCTCGGTCTCTCCCTCCCTCCCCCCTTCCTCCTCCCGGTCTCCTTCCCGCTCGCCCCCTCGGCGCCCCCTCCCTCCTTAGCACCGACTGCCTACCCACGCTCCTTCCGCCATGCTTTCAAAACTCTTCACCCTCGCGTCCCTCGCCCTCGCCGTTAACGCGGAGCACTGGATCTTCGGTGGCAGCCGCCCCATCGTCACCGAGCGACTTGACTCCATCGTCAACCCCGGTGGGGTACGTCTCTCTTACGCTCCCCATGCGCTTCACGCGTGCTTATATGCGCGTAGATCGGTACCCACGTCCACTCTGTCGTCGGCGCCAGCAAGTTCAGCCAGAACTACGACTACGACACCCTCCGGTCCTCCAAGTGCACCACCATCCCCGTCCAGCCCGACAAGTCCAACTACTGGGCGGTACGTCTTGTCCTTCTGTCTCCTGCCGTATTGTGATTGAGCTGTGTGTGCGCGCTACAGCCCCAGGCGTACTACAAGGACCAGCACACGGGTGTCTTGACTCCCTTTAGTGAGTCTCATCTCTTTTCTTTCTCGTTCGCGCGTATTGTCATGGCTGGAGGAGGACATCGCCACATCGGCCCGCGTGTCGGCCCGTTTCCATCCACCGCCCTGATCGAGGCTTCTCCGATCTCCTGGCGTACACTCCAGGAACATTATCATCGTTGACTCGCGCAACGGTCCCCGATCACGCCACAGCCACTGACTATCGTCTTCAGCGACCGGTTTCAACATTTACTACCTCAAGCGCAATGGCCCCAAGAACCAGCCCGTGAAGGCCTTCCCTGCCGGCCTTCGCGTAAGTCGTGCTCGTGATCTACTTCCGCGTGAAAGCTCACCCCCAATCTAGATGGTCGCGGGTAACCCGAGCCGCAAGGTTTACAACGCCTCCAACTTTGAGGACCAGGCCGTATCCTACGTCTGTCTCGGTACGTCCTCTCCGCCGTTCCCCCGTATATGCGCTCATCATCTACGCAGACTACTCCGGTGCCCACAACGGCGATCCCGACTGGGCCGAGCGCCCCGACTTCTTCGACCACACCTGCCCCAACGGTATGCGCGCCCAGGTCTTCTTCCCCTCGTGCTGGGACGGCAAGAACCTTGACTCGGCCGACCACAAGTCCCACATGTCGTACCCGATCCAGAACTTCAACGGCGGCGACTGCCCCGACTCGCACCCCGTTCAGCTCGTCTCCCTCTTCTACGAGATGTTCCTCAACGTCCAGGACTTCCCCTACTACGGCGCCGGTTCCTGGGTCTTCGCCATGGGCGACACCACCGGCCTCGGCCACCACGGCGACTTCCAGAACGGCTGGGACGTCAACCTCCTCCAGTCTGCGATCGACACCTGCACGAACGCGAACGGCAACGTCATGGATTGCCCCGTCCTCGCCGCCGTCTTCGACCAGGCCGCTGCGGACGCGTGCGTCATCGAGAGCGAGGTCTTGAGCGAGAACGTCGGCCTCGACCCCGCCCACCCGATCACGGTCCTCCCCGGCTGCAACCCGATCTGGGATGGCACTGGCAACAAGCCGGCGTGCCAGCAGAACGATGCGATCCCGTCCTTCGTGTCCGCGCAGGAGCCGCTCCCGTCCGGATGGCAGGCGCTCGGGTGCATCGCCGAGGGCACCAACGGTCGCGCCCTCGCGAGCGCGTCGACCAAGTCGGACAACATGACCCAGGCGACGTGCGCGTCCTACTGCGCGGCGAAGGGCTTCAAGTTCGCTGGTGTCGAGTTCTCGGATGAGTGCTACTGCGGTAACTCGGTCGCGAACGGCGCGTCCACAAACCTCATCAACGGCGACCTTTGCTCCACCAAGTGCGCCGGGAATGGTTCGTGCTCTCCGTTTCCTTCGGCGTGATTTTAGACGCTGATCGTCTCCGATTGTCCTCGCGCGTATAGCCAATGAGATGTGTGGTGGCGCGGCGCGTCTGACTTTGCTCACCAACTCGGGTGTGTCGGCTTCGCCCGCAGCCTCGTCTGCGGCATCGTCTGTGTCGTCTACCAGTGCAGTGAAGACCAGCACTGCTAACACCTCTTCAGTCGCCAGCACGTCTGCCGCCTCCGCGACCACCGTCGCGACGAGCTCTAGCGCGGTCACCTCGTCCAAGGCCACTTCCTCCACCAAGGTCGCTTCCTCCACCAAAGCCGCCACCTCCGCCGTCGTGACTTCCTCGGCTGCCGCCTCCTCGACCACCAGCAACGTCGCCATCTCCCTCCCCACTGGCGGCGCCTCCAACTCGACCGCCGCGATCTCGGGCTGGACCGCCGCTGGCTGCCGTCAGGACGACGTGAACCGCCTCCGGACGCTCAACGTCGACGCCTTCGCCTCCAACACGATGACCCTCGCCGCCTGCGTCGCCCACTGCGACTCCAAGGGCCACACGATCGCCGGGCTCGAGTACGCGCGCGAGTGCTACTGCGGCGCGGCCTTCGTCAACGGCGGCGGCGCGCTCATCGCGGACGCCAAGTGCAACATGCCGTGCTCCGGCGACGCCACCGCGCTCTGCGGCGGCCCCGACGCGCTCACCGTGTTCGTCAAGGACGGCAGCGCGGCCGCGATCTCGGGCTCCAGCTCGGGCTCCGCGACGAAGACCGGCGCGGTGCTCGCCGCGCCGACCGGCTCGAGCTCGACGTGCGACTCGCACGCGCCGGCCAAGAGGAACCACAAGCGCAAGGCGTTCGGGCGCATGCACGAGAACTCGGACCTGTTCTGAGCGTGTGTCCCTCCGCGTTAACGAACGGGTCGCCGTGGACGGCGGCTCGCTCCTCTCGTCTCGTTTCACTTTAACGGTGCCCTGCGGCGTCGGCGCGGGGAGCGAGCCTCCCACGCGCGTTTGGTCTCTGCCTCTCCCCTCTTCTTATCGAGTACATAACGCCCCTCACGTGCATCCCTCGTCTCACTCTCACGTCTCCAGGTCTCTAAGTCTTCAGGTCTCGGGTATACCGGCGCCCGCGGCGCCCTCTCCTCTCCTCTCTCGCGCTTCCACTTGCCTCGGGGCGGCGCGCCGCGCGCCGTGCGCTCGACTCCACGCGCGTCCGCCTGTACTGTACTGCGTTTAGTACCTAGCCGAGCGTCGCGTACTTCTCTGCCTCTCTGCTCTCGGTGACACGTTGCGAATGTGCATATCGTGGATGGGGCGCTACGCGTCCTTTTGATTGGTACATTTCGTGTGCAACGCGTGTGACGATCCATGATGACGAGGACGGAACTGGGCCCTCCGGGTCGTTCTCACTTGTGGATCTCCAGGTTCGGACGCCGGATGCAGGCTGCATGCGTATGACATCCGTACGGCGAGTCTGAGCGTGGCGCGAGCGTGCGCCGTTCCGTCACGGTGCACGTTCGCCAGAGCGCTGCAGGGAGAGCGGGACGGCGGCGGGGAAACGGCGCACGCAGCGAGCGACTTGTGCTTGTGTGCGGTTTGCCCACTTTGCTGTGCCGGACGGGTGACGCGACGAAGAAGGGACCGGCGCGCGCGCTGGACTATGGACCGCTCCTAGTGACGGGGCGATCTGGGCGGGAGGTCCGACGCGGACACGTGCGGGAAATCGTGGAACGCATTTTGCAGCACGACCCCGCGCGGCAACGGCGAATATGAGCACGAGGGAGCACGGCGTGTACATTGCGGCTCATTTCGCGCACCCCACTTGGAGATGGTGTGCGGACGCCGATGGAGTTGTGCGGCGCGAGGCGTTGATCAAGTGCGATCCGAGTCAGCGGCACCGGTGAACAGTGGGGCGTTGGTGCAGGCAACGATGTCGGCGGGGGTGGCGGCGGAAGCGCGAGAGATCCCGGCGGTCCGTAAGCGCATAGAAAGGAGTGAATGATTATCAATAAGGATACATGAAGGGTGACAAAGAGCAGAGACGCAATCTCTGGCTAGTTGGATGTG